CGATCATGTACAGCCATGTTTCTACAATCCACTGCTCCATGGCCATGGGTACACCCCCACCTAGACGGCCAACATTATGTTCGCTACGCCTGGCGAGCATGTTGACTGTGCGACTGGCAAGCTCACTTGCACCCGAGACGATGTCATCCTTGAACTCGACACCCTCAAGTTCGGCATGACGAATCAGGTACGTAGCTAGCAGAAGAAACGGAAACCCGAACCCGTCGTTGGAACCTGCCTCAGACGAAATGATCTCTCGTAGCGCACGAGGAACAAATTTATCCGCAAAGGGACCCTTAGCCACGGCTTGGGACAAGACAGGATCTGTGCAGGTGACGCAGGATCCGATGACAAGCGCGGCCAAGAAGGATATTTTGGGAATGGTGAGCATAATGCACAAACTTGTGCAGATCCACATGATTGCCATGACTGGGAGGAGAAGTATCATCATGTCCTTCCATCGGGCTTGTTGATACTTGGCGGGGAGCTGGAAGCCGGCAATGACAAGCTGGATACCGATGACTATGCGGCACATGCCCTATATGGAGGTGAGTAGGGTTCATCGAGAGGACTTTCATAGTTGTGCACCTACCAGTGTGATGGCTTCTTGCTGACCCTGAGCAGCAGAACCCCATTTTTCTGCATCGAGAAACCTGGCAGCTATAGGGCCCAGAATGATGCCCATGATAACGGCCGGCACTGATGTTGTAAGCAAGGATTTTGATGGGAGCACACTTGAGTGCACTGAGGAGCTGGTGACCTACACGCTTCGCCCAAGTACCAGACTTGCTTGATCTTGACTGACAAAAAGCCATAGCAGACAATGAAAGCGCCTATGGGTGTGACATGTTACTGGATGATTGGGAGAATGGTGATATCGAGGACGTACCCAGAACGGCGATGACAATGTTGAGTTCGCTGACGTCGAGAACCGGCATGGCTGGTTATAAGCCCAAAGAATTCTGGAAGATGAGGGATAAAAGATGCAGTTCTATGAAAGTACCATGTGTTTTGAGGGAATATGAATGAATGAGTAAAGAGTACGGAAAAAAGGGGGACGACCAGCGGGAGAAGAGAAAGTAAACAGCAGACCAGCCGCAACCGCAGATACAAATTAAAACTGGATAAGCAAGTGAAAGAAAAGAAGAAGAGTGCGCAAGCTCCAGATTAAGTCGGAAGGAATTCAAAAAGGAATGACGCCCAAGAATGACGGCCTCAACTTCCAAGGCTTCTTGGGTGCCGCACTCTGTGACTTCGTATCTCTAGCTTATGCCACAGACATCAACTACCCGACCTGGCTTGAAACTCAAAACTGCCAGGACACGCTTGGCCGAGCAGTCATTCCCGTTCTTAGATGCCTGATAGCCGAGGCCAAGGCAGTGAATGGCAATCGCGACCAGAGCCAAGCTACCCTCCACCACTATCTTTGGACCATTCATGTGGGACCTTTTGTCCTTGGACGCTGTTTGAAAATGCTTTCCTGTCACACCTATCGACTTGCAAAGAAAAAAAAGCTAGGGTGTTCAAGAAAGGGTGTGGCTTCGATTCGACCAAGTGGAGTCTGCATATCTTGACCATGCAAAACAGGCCAAGTAGTAAGGAGGCACTTTTTAAACTGGAGCCTATCAGTGCTGTCACCGGCAACAATCTCAACATGCCGGGAGATATCTGGGCGCCCTGCAAAAGAGGTTCCTGGCCAAGTCTGCCAAGTCCGCCGCCCCGGAAGGGCGCCCGGCTGCCCATAACTTGGCATTGCAGCGACGTCCAGTGATGATGAAATGCAGTGCCTCAGGATAAGTACCATGCAATAAGGAATTCTACTCCTGTATCGTAGTGTTGGAGTCAGGGACCCTTGATCGGGGCCAAGCCGTGATCATTGGACCGTGCATTCTTCAGCATAATTTGTATTCGTCAGCCGCCTGGGGAGTAATAGTATTGATAGCACTGGTCGAGTGGGAGCTGGAGAATTCTGTGAGAGATTGACCATGAGAGCGTATTCAAAGCGATGGAAAGGATTGTATAGCTTCTCCGTTTGCGTATGGTACACTCCTTCTATCACCATTTTCCAATGCGATGCTGCATATGTGTGTGTTCGCCTGGACGCTAGGTCAGAGAATTTATTCTAGTACCACAAGTTATCGGTGAAAGATCGATTGCTTAGCGGATTTGAAGGCGGTCGATCGCAGAGAATGTTGTTGGGGGATGCTGGCACAGCAATGTGCTGAGCCGCCCCATCAAGAATGTAATCTTTTGGCCTCAAGTTTGCCTGAAGCAGCAAGAAATGCATATCCATTTTTTGTACCATTGCCATCGAGACAGTAACTACAGTCATCATTCGCGGTTGGCGGAATTTTTGGACCACGCGACTTAGTCTGTTTACCCCACGAATGATGCTTCGGCGATACGGAAGTGACAAACCCAAAGATGCGGAGAGTTGAAGCTTGACCTAAAGCTTTTCCTCCTTTATCTTCCGATGATTTCTCCAGGAAAATTAGCAGCAAGCCTTTACATTCGAAGCTTCTTTCTGATGGATACTAAGGCAGGTCTCCAAGATTACCAAGAATCACCATGCAGCGAAGCAATTGGCTCCGGATAAGATGTGCCGTAAATATCTTCTAAGGTTGATGGGATTGGCTGTCGATAACTGTTCCGGTTCCTTCGTACTGTTCTAGTGGCTAATAACCAGATATGAGCCAGGTACGCTAAAGTATAAAGGTATACCTGTGACCCAGTGTCGCGGTGGAAATTTTAGCGGGAATCTATGCGGTAAGTCTCCTTCAGTTCGTCATCAAACCAAGCTGCGAAAAGGTGTATGCTTCGGCTACCCAGCTCTGCAAGACATATTGTGAAACAGGAGAAGAGAATGATATCTGGATATGTGAACACGGCCGGGCTACTCTTCTCTACAAAGTGAATTGCCTTGAATCTGTGTTGTGTACGTACTTTTTCGGCGAGATGGAGGGGTAAAGTCCTGAAATTGTATAGATCTTTCACAGATGCGGCAAGTAATATAAAGCGGTATAAAGGAATTCAACGACTGAGCCCATCATCATGTTGGTGAACAGAGGCGACGTTCAGGCCTGGACGAATGCTGTCCCAACTTAATGTCTCTATGCGACTTGGTCAAAGATGTGGTTAAAAGAGGGCATATTCTCTTATGCATACAGGACGGTTGACTATTTCCGTGCTCGAAATAGATGTTAGTACACGTTCTTCTACCAATGCGGCCTTTGGGTCTGTTCTCGAAATTAAGTAGATGACAAACATTCTGCTGATAGATCTTGTGTAGATTTAACACTGAGTAAGCAAGAATCACAAGATAGTACTTCATTACCTCCGACCGGAGATAAGATGGCGATAAGACTGATGGTCAATCCGATGTTTGTTTCGAGTAACTTCGATGATGCTTCGCTGGACATATGTGCGTAACTAGAATTGAGACTAACACAGTAACAACTCCTTCTTTTGCCGCATATCGCCGACTTTGGTCAAGACGCGCGATCCAGAAACAGGAAGAGAAGCGGTGAAACGTACTCGTGGCCGGTGGAATTCGACGGCGATGACCGGATCGAGTAGAAACTCCGGCCTAGGAAGCCATCGAAGACGAAAACGGTGTCGCAAGTTTGTAGTAGTGCTAAACCAGCCCATTGAATACGTGTAAGATGAAAATGACGCAACTTGTGGTGTCGCGTGCATTTTTCTTCCTTCTCTCAAGTACGGTTGTGATCATCTCCATGGGCAGCCATAGTTAGAGAACAGAAAAGCACATGTGAAAAGGGAGTAGAATGAGCTGCAAAGCTACGGCCGAAAAGACACCAAGGTACTACGCATTTCACATGAAAGCGTGGGTCTTCAACGTCAGTCGTGGTGGGTCAGCCCTTCAGCCCTGCATAGTCGGGCCTTTTGGCCAAAAAAGCTACCCCGCATGTCGTCACACATGTGCATGCACGCCAGGAGCTGTCAGCGCAAAAGATATAAGATTGCAAACTACCCCTCTACTCGAAATATAGAAATATATAGTAGAAACACGCATCACACATCAATTCCATCTACAAAAAAACCACATCCATCACAATGTCCAAGCCAAACATCCTCTTCGTCCTCACCTCGCACAACAAACTCGGCGACACAGGCAAACCCACAGGCTGGTACCTCCCCGAGCTCGCGCACCCCTACCACGTCCTCCACAACAAAGCCAACATCACCGTCGCCTCGCCCAAGGGCGGCGAAGCACCCCTTGACCCCTCCTCCGTCGAAGCCGCCAAAGACGACGTCTCCGTCACCTTCCTCAAAAACGACGAGGCCGTCTGGAAAACCACCAAGAAGCTTTCCGACTTCATCGGCAAAGCCAGCGAGTTCGACGCTATTTTCTACGTCGGCGGCCACGGCCCCATGTTCGATCTCGCCGACGACGCCACGTCGCAGCAGCTCATCCGCGAGTTCTGGGAGGCCGGCAAGATTGTCTCGGCTGTGTGCCATGCACCCGCCGTACTCTACAATGTCAAGTTGAGTGATGGAAGCTTGCTGGTTGCGGGTAAGGAAGTTACGGCGTTTACGAATGCGGAGGAGGAGCAGGTCGGATTGACCAAGGCGGTGCCGTTTTTGCCAGAGGATGCGCTGCAGAAGGCGAGTGGCGGCAAGTTTGTCAAGGCGCCGGAGCCGTGGGGGGAGAAGGTAGTTGTGTCCGGCAAGTTGATTACTGGGCAGAATCCTGCGAGTGCGACGGGTGTGGGTGAGGCGCTTGCTAAGGCGTTGGGTATCTAGGGTTATGATATGAATAATGTACATGTACAGTAATGAAGTATATGCTTTAACGAGGCATTTATGATACGAGACACAAAAGCATATGGGAGTGAGGTGAGAGATAATTAAGAAATGTCATCAAAACGTTCGTATACTCATTAGCGACTACGTATTCAAGATATTATTTACAACCACTTGAGCTTTCCTCCATTAACTCAAGACACAGTCCCCTTCGACTAGACCCATCTCTACCCACTTCACATACTCTCATATACGTATGCGTACTCCGTCACCGTCTCGTAAACGAGAACTGGCGGGCAAACCGGGGGGTGGGCAGGGTATCCCGGGCCCTTTGTAGGAGCGGGAGGCGGAACAGCCGGATACGAAACATGTCCAGCAGGCAGAGAAGGCGTCTCATGGGGCTGGACAGGCGTGTTTACGGAGCTGGAAGCCGAGATAGTCGAGTTGCCATAGTGCGCTGAAGTCGGGATGATGGTTAGGGAGTGGGCTGTTGTTCCTGGCTCGTCAGTGCATGTCGTTGAAACGGTTCCGTTGGCCGTGGTTACGGGGACGTGGGAAGAGACCGGGGGCGCAGAAGGGATGTACGAAGGAACCATGGTAGAAGGTACGTGGGGAGGAGGAGCCAGAGTAGTTGAGTCGAGGCATGGGGTCGAGGGGCTGGGGATAACTGCAGTGCTGGTGGACTTGATATCCGAGGTAACTGGAGTGGAAGGCTCAGGAACTACTACGGTACTTGAAGGCTCGGTGGAACTGACCTCGGAGGTAGAGGCCGCAGAAGTGGGCGTAGGTGCGGGTGTGGTTGTGGGCTCAGGTGAAGGTGTAGGCGTGGGAGTAGGCGTAGCCGAGCTGGACAAGACAGACGATGAAGAAGGCTTGGCCAGGAGCGGTGTAAGCTTATCGACAACCCACGACGATGATTCATCTGTGTACAGCTCAAAGTAGTTGAGATGCTGAGCAACATTGGTACCACCAGCGCAAATTGGGTCACCACCAGCGCAGTATGAACGCAAGACAGAAGAGAAGCGGTTCATCCGCTCCAGATTGGCGCCCGTACGCGGCCAGACCTGCTTGTCGGCACCATCGAGTACGTTGTATGGCTGGTTAGCAGTATGTTTGACGTCACCCCAGAGGAGAACCGCCTTGAGAGCCTGGCCGGCCTTGGAGTTGGGGTCAAGACCAGTAGTCTGTGGATCAACATCGCACGCATCCTCACCTCCTCCACTGAGTATAGCACCACCAACCATGGCACCTTGAGAGTAACCGTTGAGGACAAGCAAGGTATCCGGGCACTTGGCATTGTACTCGGTGATTTGCCTGACGCCGTTGACGGCACCTTCCTGGATGGTAGGGCAGTACGGGACACCAAGAGTGCCATCAAAGACGACATCCATGTAGTCGCAGGTGATACCCTTGGCCTGGAACTTTGCGCAAGTAGCATCGCTAAATGGCGAGGTGCGTCCGTCGTGATATGGAGCATCGTTTCCGCGGGCCATGAAGATGGCTACATCGATACAATCGGCGGTGAGCTTTGGAGGGGTAGTGCCTTGTGCACTGGCGAGAGGAAGGGCGGCAAGGACAACAGCGGCAAGGCTTTGCCTGAGCGAGGGTGTTGATGTCATGTTGTCGATCTCGGGGATTTGAATTATCTTTCCCTTCTGGGGAGTTGACGAGTTATATTAAAGGTCGACAGACTTGATAGCGACGGTCGTTATGATATTAATGATTAGGTATAAGGATAGAGCATTAACCAAACCCTCCTTTGTCGTGAAGTGGAGCGAAAGTGGATGACCCGGATAATCGGACAACGTGGTACACGACAAGCAGGGAGGAGTGAAGATCGTGTAAGAAGAATCTGAGACGACGACGGCGGATACGCAAGATATGTCACACTGTCAGTGGAGCCAACCCCGTATTCAGGACTGCCATGGGACAATCTATCGATATGTCTGTGGGTACCAAGAACACGATCGAACAAGGGCGCATGTCGGCAAGCGCATACACCAGGCTTTGGACAAGTTGCTTGAGTTGTCAGCACTGCGTTAGCTCAGTGAAATATTGTATATCCACAGATGATGCAGTCGTAAATGGTTAGCCGGGCGCTGCTAGCACGGGAGAGGCAATACAGTATGTTGGTGGTGCGTTGTGCGGCATGCCTTGCATTGCAACCCCGGCATTATGCCGTATCAGGTGAGCAGCAATAAGCCACCCGCCAGCCCAGGCCCATGCAGCACGCGAGAGACGCGGAATTAACGGCGAAACCGTTGAGGCTGAACCTTTTCTTGAGCGCCATTCCAGATCTCTCTCAACGAGTATTCGAAACGTCCACGGTTCGCGTATCGCACGCTGTTCCATCAATTCGGCCGAGTTAGTGTGCATTTGCCATGTGCGGCGGAAAAGTCGTCCGGAGTTTCGGGATCCTGCAGACCCTGCCCATCCCCCGTCTCAAGCTATACTGCTACTGCACAAAGGACCGCCGTAGTCCCCCTCTGGTTCCTCGAGTATCCCGAAAGGGTTATTGACCCTGGATCGACTTCCCTGTCCACCGATGTGCACAGCGCAGGAATAAAACCTGGCGATGGTGCACTAACAACACCGTTGTTGCATCGCAGGACCAGAGTTTGGATACCAGAAAATCTTCATCATGGCGGCCCTCGTCTCCCGGTAAAAAGTCGGCTTCGCAACTAGAGCTATGAGCTATCTATGACAGCAATATCGTGACTCGCCGACCTGGCAGTTGTAATACGAAGGTAAGTATTTTTTGGGTCGCTTGCGCAATGTCGGCGGGTCAATGCTGCCACCTGCGTAAGGTCGTTGCAGACGTGAGGCGGCGCCTTGTTAGCGCCTATCCCTTTGGCCTTGGACATGACGACGTGTGTGTGAAGAAATTGACTTGGCACTGCACGCAAGACAAAAACAGGCTTCCAGAAAGCAGGTTGGGTAATATTCGGGTAACAGGGCGGGTGACCCGTGTGGCGGGAGTCGTATCAAAGTCAGAGAATGATTCGACCTGTCAAGGTATACCCGCAGTATGCGACTGTCCAGAATGCGATCTCAAGGCTGGCGGGACGGGAAGCTCTGTATCGCCACTGGCGCAATAGTCGTATCTGTTTTTAGTGTGGCTTATCCGGACAATTTTTCTATTCGTCGCCGTCGCGTGTTATCGCAGAAAGTAATATATTGGACAAAGAACCCGCTGATGCTACAACACCAGAAGTAGAAGTGTTTTCTATCGAGAAATCCTTTGGCGCGCAAAATGCCTCGCCTAGCAAACACACCCACACGTGATAGCAAACACGTCACATGACATTCCTTGGCACAGCTTCTATCGATCATTGTTGCATCTCGCCGACCAGAGCAAATCATCAAGCAATTTACCAAGTCCACAAAACAAGCCCGAGTTCTTCCATCACGACCAACTCACGTCCATCTCATCTCTACTCCCCACTTCCCTTCAATCTCTCTTGCTTCCCCCAACTCCCTTCACTTACCAATGCCAACCCCCGCCAAGTCCCCTTCTCATCCAAACACTCTCAAAAACATCAAGTCATGAACCTATTTTACTACGCTAGTAGCCCTAATCGGTCCAAACATGAAACACCTACTCACTATTTCTATATTGCTACAGTACACCGTGCAAAGCTACCTTTATTAATGTGAACGGGGATCCGTAGTCGAACATGTGATTAGATTGGGTTTATTGGCACCGTGCGTTGTGAGGACGGGGTAATGTCGGTCGGTGGGCTTGCATGAGAGGTACGTGGAATAAAGTTTTTTCGGTGACCCAGGGGATTGTGGTTTACGTTCTGGAATGTCGAGTTGTTTCTTTGGGAAGGCGCTAGTGGTGGTTGCGACTGGGTAGGGACGTGAAAGGTTGCAGAGTTGTGTTTCTTAGCCTTTGGGGATGATACGACATACATTTTATATATGATGTGATACGAAAGACTTGTCGCAGTTAAGCTCTACCAGGCTTGAACCTCCAAGAGCCCGATCTGAACAGGAATAGTGAAGGAGCTTAATAGAATTATAGTCCTGTACTATTATTGATGTCGCTGTTACAGTTATTTGACTTGACCTTTTAACCTATTCACTAGCCTGCCAATACTACTAGCTGTTATATAGGTGCTGGTAATCTCAAGCATATAAACCTAGAGTGTTATGGCGCTGCCATTGCCAGGGCTTACCCCGTTTGGGTATAGCGCCTTGGCTAGGATTCTGTACTTAGCCTCACCTCCCATAGTTCCGAGATAGACAACTTGTACTATATACTGTTTTGATAACCTGTCCCTTTTGGTGGCCGTTCCGGCCGTGACATAGAGCAAAAACGTACCGTTGAAGCGAGGTGGCCGAAGTTCTTCGAACATGGTGTGCATGGTCAAATCTTTGATGGTATTGCGTCCGATAATCACCTCGCATTATGGACAATCAATAACCTTGAAGGTGGTGATTTCATAGTTGGGTCGCAAGTTGTCGCGATCGCTGGATTTTACAACATGCCATCTTCCTTGGACCTCACCTAGGAAATTCATCTCAGTCCCACTGATCTCAGAGGAACTGGTGTAGTCTTCGCAGTGTTGCCATTCTACACAACTCTCGTTGAGGAATCGAGAAGTGAACAGGTTGTCATCACACTGGATATCGAACAAAACCGTACCAATGACGTACACCGACCATTTGCGGATACTCTTGTCTTGAAAGGAAATATCAATTGTTCTCAAGAACTTTTTGTACCTCGACTGCGGAAAAAGGATTCGCGTAAATCTAGGGGAAGTAACAGAGGAAGTCGAGGACAACGAACCGTGTGTATGACGAAGGGGAACTGGGAAATCCAGGATGTCTTCATAGAAATTCGAATCTAATGAGATAATGGGGGAATTGGGTGGGACTTTCCATGAAGCAGAGGGTCCATATTCTCCCATCTCTGGGATATGTTGTGCTAACGGTAGGTCGGAGACCCTTCGCTCTGTCTGCGAAGCCATGGCTGTACCTTCTGCACCTTCGTCGATAACGCCCGCTAGCGTGCTTAATCGATCGGATCTGTATGAAGTAGGCGTCTTAGTGCTTGCTAATGCAGATTCTATAGCCACTATCTGTGCAGGTGTCGTAGTGTCCCCTCGCCTGGGTATGGAATTCTCCCAAACAGTTTCTTCGACTGTGTCCACAATCAAAGCATAATTGTCGCGCACGAACTCTGCTGTAAAACGCCCACGTAGAGCTCTTTCAATCTTTCTCCACATCTGTCTTTCCATATATGGAATCGAAGATGCTGTGTAGAAGGTCTTTATAGACGCAGTGTCTTCTGAATCTTCCGGACCGCTCATGATCTCAGCAATCGCTTGTTTGATGGCATCAGCATCGAAATTCTGCTTCATATTTCTGTTTTGAATATGGCTCAGATTGATTTGTAGACTCATCAGCCTGAATCTAACATCAATGACCTCCTCATTGAGCGAGAGAGGAGAAAATTCTGTTGCATCTGCGTCATGACTATAGCTGTTGTCTTCAATCAATGGTACAAGCCTCTGCAGATCGAATAATATCGAAGCGCATTCGCAAAAGACCCTCTACAGCTGAGGATCGTTTGGTGGAAGACTGGCTTGTAGCTCTTTCGCATATTCTTCAACAAACTCCGCAGTCCCATGGAGGACATCTATGCGATCAAGAAGGTTGTCCGAGACACCTTTTGCATTACAGCAATGGTTGTATAGATGCTACGTTACCTGTCGTATCTCGGTGAAATGATCTGGAATCTGAAATTAGCAGGTTCACATATCGATTGCTTATAGGAACTTGAGTGAACAAGATGGGCATCAACAGATGCTAGTGTATTCCAGCTGACTATTCTTATCGTTCGCACTTACTGATGGTGACATCTCTGCCAGCTTGGATGTTGCCATTGAAGACCGCGCCATCCCCGCCATTTACTGCTTCATTCGACCGGTCCATCTGTTGAGAAAAGGGCTGGCATTTGTCTCTTGGAGCATTCGAAGTAGCCTCAAGCGTATTGCGACGTCCGTGAGTGTTGTAGGAGTCCACCAGTCGAACTTATGATTGATTTACTCATCACAGTGTGCGAAACTGACTTTGTACATGTGTTAATATGTCGCTTACAAAGACCTCGCCCCGCTGCGGCTGAGGCTGTGAGGAAAGCATAGCCTCAGCCTAGCGTTGATGCCTTCGGCTCTATCCCCTCGCTCATCACAAATCTGATCTGATCCGATCGCATATGTACACCTTGTGAGATACATATTAGTCATGTTAGACTTTACATCAAGCTTTCTAAGATACGGTTCAAGCAGTGTATTTTTGATATCTGGATCCCATAGGTGTGTGCAATGCCTGTATGGGGTGTTTTCAGTCAGAAAAAGAAGAAGCAGCCGCAAGAAGGGCAGCAAGCTGAGCTAGCTGAGCAACTGTTCTCTACCGCGGGATAACATGGACTCAAAACATTAGTAGAAGCGAATCAAGACACGGTAGAGTAAACATCCCTTTTCTCAAAATGTCCACGGACTTGGTTGCGGCTACCCTAACAACCCGCTTAGTATCGTTTTTGTTCACGGTCTGACAGGAAATCGTGAAACGACGTGGACATATAATGAATCCCTATTCTGGCCGCGGGATCTCCTTGCTAAAGAGCTCCCAAATACGCGCATTCTCACATTTGGATACGATGCAGATATTGTGGGCGTTTTGAAAACTGCTGGCTCAAATACCATTCGCGACCACGGCAAATCCCTAGCTCAAGACCTTTCAATGCGAAGAGCTAGAACCCATTCAGTGAGTAAAAAATAGTACGAGACGATAAATATGAGGTTAATGCAAAATAGAATGACCGTCAGATCATCTTTGTCGCACATAGCCTTGGGGATTGGTTGTTGAGCAAGCACTATTAATCGTCTGCGGGTCCTCAGAACCACACGTAAAACGTCTTCTACACAACACCACCGCAATCGCCTTTATGGGAACACTGCATCTTGGATCGAGAAAAGCCGATTGGGCGCACTCAATCGCTTGTCTTTCAAATCTATTGCGCAAGACGAATAAAGAAATCGTGGCTGTTTTGCAGCCCGGATCGGAGATACTGGCGAACCTACAACAAGAATTCCATACCATGTTAGAGGACAAAAGGAGGAATGAAGGGAAGTGGTTAGACATTTTCTGCTTCTATGAAGAACTGTCTTATCCAGGTATTGGCCAGGTATGTATCATCTTTGTACGACCAGCGCTCTACGCTATCTAGTCCACCGTTGTGTAACTCCATCTATGCTTCTAAAATCTTATTTCAGTGCTACGACTCGTTTCTCAAATTTCATGATTCAATATCCGGATTTCGCGATATACGATTATATTAGAAGAGCTAACATGTCATGAGATTGTTCCGCGCGAATCATCCATACTTCCAGGGTATCCTAACATTAGTATTCATAATAATCATTCAGATATGAGAAAATTCAGAGGTGAGCTAGACTCTGGATATATTCAAGTTCGTGATCAGCTGTGGCTCTGGATTGAAGCAATGAACAAAAACAAAGAAGGGGTCAGTACAGTGTTCAAGCAATCGCAAGCACAGGCCCAAGACACACCCCAGGATAGAAGTGCCGTCGCATCTAGCGGAGGAGCAATCTTCATGGGGAATGTTAGTGCTGGAAGAGATTTTACTTACAACTCTAATTAACCCTAGTTGTTCTATTTAATTTTGTCTTAGTGTTCGAGACTTTACATACTCGGGCCGTTCCGCGACCTATAATCATCCGCGCAACCAAGCCCGTTGAATACGAACATCGTAAAATTTGCGCAAGATGGTTTGGAGTAGCTTCAACCTTAATTTGCCGGCGTTCTAATAGCAAAACTTTATGCTGTATGTACGGACGACTCTAACAAGGCACGAATGCGCATAGTCGAGGAAGCATGTCTACACAACTGAGAGTTCTCATCAGGAATGCCATGCCCATACCACATGTCCCGCATCAAAAAACGAAAAGGCAAGAACATACGACATTCCAGCTATGAGAAGCCCTTGAGACTCGTTCTCTGCGTGTCCATGCCATTCTTAGCTGCCAAAGGTCATGCGTTGTACATATCCGCCGCTAAGGGCTCCGGTAAGTCTGATAGCGGGTAAGCGAGGCATTGCATGATTAGTCACCACATCCTCTTTCACTGCAGTAAACTTCTTTGAGTTGATTTAGTATTCGCAGGCTTTCCATTGTGTTGGCATTGCGTGGTTGTTCGGAAGACCTCAAATATCCGCATATCACATTGGAGGGATCAGAACATGTAGGACTTCGCTCCTCGGAGAAAGGTCGTGAGATGCGCCACTCGCTTGCCAGGTACTTTATTGGTATGGCTTTTTCAGCTGAACATCGTATGTTGGCTATATCGGGAACTGTCCCGTCCCGCCTGACCCCTCTTTTTCGCCGAACTACGAGATCAAAGTCGACTCAAGGCTCCAAGAAACGGCGCCTTTGATCACCTTCGAGTCGCATCTCTATTGCGCGGCATAGGGACAACTACCAACTACTCCTACTTTGCAAACTATCACCATCAGCTCACCATGTACGGTGCTCCACCTGGATTCCCCCCACCGCCTCAGCAGCCGGCGCCTCCGCCATCAGGCTGGACTGAACACTTGTTCTACACGAATGGGAAGGGCACACCGGCCTTTGAAGCACTGATGAAGGAGTTCTTTGTAAAGCTTGATCCCAGAGGCACCGGGTACATTACTCCAGAAGCCTTTTCAAGCTTCTTGGAGGCATCGCGCGTCAAGGATTCGGACAACATCTGTAAGTCATCTTTTCCACCACAGTGAAGCTTTGAATTCAAAGCAAACTTTGCGCAAAAGAATACTGACCCTTTCTTGCTTTAACACGTAGGGAAGAGAAGTCTCAAGGACGGCGGCATGTTTGCAAAAGAGGACATGGCCGACTTCGAGTTCAAGGCTGCACTAGAAGGCTTCTACTTCGATCACAAGGTCGTAGTGCGCAATCCTAATGCGCCACAGTTACCATACGGTGGCATGCCCCTCCTCAGCCTGGCCGGGTTTATCGACTTCATGTCAGTCGAATATGCGTCGGATCCAGACGACATATTTGTCGTGCCTGGACTGAACAATGCCTTGCGCGTGTACAATATCTGGCCAGAGCGTGGGCCCTTGCCGCGATACGTGTTTCCTGAGAGACGGCCAGTGGAGATTCAGCAGCGCATCGATCAAGCAAGCCAACGCTGTGCTGCAAATGCGCAGGAGAAGATCATGGCGAACCAGGCACGGCTTCAGATGAAGCTGCAAGGTCAACAAAATGCCCTTGATTTGATTGACGGGACTCGTAGATACTATCGCTACTATTGAAGACTCTAGAGAGTCCGCAAGATTACAAACGGGACCGTTGAGTTGAGCTGAAACCAACTCAGAGTCTACTTTGATGGTATATAATTCACTATATACTCTCTTATGCTCGTGTAAAGTTCAGCGTATACATTCACGGTGCACTCTGACTGGGTATGAATCGAAATAACCAAACTTCTAGGCGCTCCTGAGCGCTATGTACAACTCCATCGTATTCTGTACTAAGCTAGAACGCCGCATCAGGATTTAGATTTTCTTGTCGAGTGGGTCTTCAGAACCATTATAGCGCGTAAATTTGCAGACGTATTTCCAGTCCTTGGTTGCCCTCATGGGAGTCAGCGTTTATTCCCGCTTCTTTGATCTGGTCTTGGCATGGTTAGTGGATAGGTTCGCGCACAGTTGCTTTGGGTCGACCACAGATGCTATTTCAATTCGTGTGACTGGCAGATAACTCTTTCTTAAGTCCTGTTGTGCAAATGTAATGTGTTCATTCTGGAAAATGTGATTGGTTTGTTATTGATAGGCCATCGCGGTACCACAGGTTGCATTCGATAACAACCACAGAGCAACCTTATGTAACATCAAGCAACATGAAATGAGTCAACTGCAGAGGAGAATACGAAATTCTATAAAAGGTCTCCAGAGCCTTTTGCTCCTCGTTGAGCCAACCTTTTTATCCACAATCATCTCGAGCGGAATCGTACGACACAAACGGCGCTGAAAAAGTCACACCCTACAATCTACGCCCCCATCAAAATCAACGAAAAGTCCACAGTCACGATGCGAGAAGCAGTCGAATCTCCGTTCATGGCCCTGCTGACCGAACTGCGCTGTCATATCTACAGCTATCTGCCAGACACGCTCTACGAGCGCATTTTCCCCGAGTTCGACATGTGCAGGTGGGAAGTATATGAAATGCCAACCGCACTAATGCAACTAAACAAGAATATATACCAGGAGGTGAAGGACCTCTCAATACAAAAGTCCTTGCAAAAGTTCAACGATCAACTTCCACCCAAAATTGCGATCGGCCCAACAGGCACTAAGATGGAATCTGTATACATCAAGCTCTCGGAGACCTTACATCGAGCCGGCAAAGAGCTCCACACATTTTTCGGTGAGCCCCAACACTGCGAGGATGAAATCAAGAATACCAGCATTGACCTCTCGTCTTGGTACAACAATACGTATCTGCCGCAGGTGGCCCTTGATGAATATGAAGCCTTCGATACCCAGACTGAGTGTAGGCCCGAGCACTTATACAAGTCTGTGAAGCAGACTTTGAAGAGAATGGAGGTTAGTAAGACATATGACATCGACGTTTTGTTCGAGTTTAGCAATTAGTACACCTATTGGGGCTGCTCTCAGTACGAGAAATTAGGTCCGAGGATCCTTCATCCAACAACACATTTCACAAAGCAATGGCCTTCAGGGCCGATCATAATAGTTTGCAGCTAAAGCTGCCATCAGTCCGATATTTAGATAGGTAGCGGCATATAATAGGTGTACACCTTCGCTTCTGCCTAGGAGGTGACTCTTCGCATCTTCACCGCTAGTGCGTCAAAAGTCTACAAATTAAAATGTAAAGAGAAAATCACTTTTGATACTAGTATAGTGTTTGATTTCTAGGAGTTGCTTCTGGTTTAATAGTTGTAGCTACTTATTGGAATTACTAGGAGAAATAAGATCTGCTACACCGCTTTCACATATGAAATTCGCGCCGTGAGGTGATTCCTTGCTCATATTCGGTTTGTAAGTCTCACATTAAGCATGGTCCGAGGCTAATACCGCCAGTGCAAATGGTCTGTCTAACGATGCAACAACATCTTGGACTTCAAACGAACTAGCAGTAAATTGTGGTAATATTCAGATTGCTATCGTGCCATGTTTAGACTTCAAAAGCGCCGGCGGTGAATTGTAGTAATATTCAGATTGCTATTGTGACATATTTGAACCTCAAACACACTGGCTGTGAATTGTGGTCATCCTCAGGTTGGTATTGTACCGTGGCCATACTCCCAACGAACCAGCGGTGAATCTTAGTAATATTGAGATTGGTATTGTACCGTGTTTGGACTGCAAACGCACCGGCAGTGAGAATTTGAAGAGTCACCTAGGCAGAAGCGAGCGTGACTGCGTACTTTGTGCCTTCACCTATCATTGCCCCCAAGTATAAAGCTCAGGATCCCACCCACCCAAACCACCACTCCTCACCTCTCCTCCAAGCTGAACTGCAGTATCTACTCCAAGCCAAACCACAGTAAGTAGTGTCATTACTAGGACCACTCATCAGCTCACATACGTACAGAACTGCCGCACCCGTACCCATCAGCCACCACAAGATGTCTGGTTCATTCCCCTCACGTGCATGGCAGAAACCATATCAGCTATCGTCAACACAGATCTCGGCTGAACTCAAGGAAGCTATTCACTCAGGGCTAGGGAAGAACTTTCAAAACGACTATAAGAAGGTTTCTGTAGTCCTCATGCACTTCCAGGATGACGATATTGGCTGCGATCCGCTCGAGGAAGAACTAGCGGACATCTTCAGCAACTTCTATCACATTCACATGATCAAACGCCTGCTGCTCACGGATCACGATAACCCGCACTGGCTTATATTCAAAGAGATCGAAGTGCTGGAGAAAAAAGGATTCACAGCCAAGGACTGTCTGGTCATCCTTGTCTTCTCTGGTCACGGACAAGTTCAGCCTGCGCGCAGTACAGATTCGCTCCGAGTACCCGAAAAGAGGCTGATGCTCGGGTAAGTCAAGCAGTTATGGGTTCATTGCTTGCAATGTATATACTGATACAGTTTTTTAGGGGTGCAATCGATGCTAACGGAAAGTTCCGCACGAAAGAGTTGGACTGGGTAAAGGCAACCGATATCCTTGGGACGGAAGAATGTGAAGTACTGCACATCATGGACTGCTGCTACGCCGCCGAGTGCATGTTGGCAGACGCAGAGTTGTTGGCTGCTTCAACGCAGGTAGCTGCTGCAGACCCTAACACATGCTTCACAAAGGCTATATGCACCCAACTCCGTCGCTTCTCGGGTAAGCAGTTCACAATTTCCACGCTGTACAACGCCCTCATGACGGAGCGGAGGGCTTTGAACCTCGAAGCGATCCCATTCTACCATCGACGCGACGGCAAACCCTCGATCGTCTTGGGAAAGTACAAAGGCAAGATAGCTTCAGCTCCACCTCTCAAGCCAAATAGCCCACGTATCTTGCTCACTGCGCATCTGAAGGAGTCTGTCGACGACAAGGTCCTTGGCAATTTGAAGAAATGGCTCAGCGAACAGTTGCCTTCCTCGATCATGAACATGGAGATAAAATTGGAAGGCGCCTGGGACGCCTCATCTTCGGTTATCCTCTTCTCACTCCCCATCTCGGTTTGGACCCAGTTGGACCGCACCAACATGGCGTTCAACTATGTCGGTGAAGTCACCTCGCGCAACAAGTTGTTGGAGCAAGGTACCACAACGCTTTCCATACGACCTCCTCAGGGCTCGGAGAACCTCAAACCCGGACAGTCCTCTGAACAGAAGTGAGCTGTCATACACCTCACACACCCATTTGCTTTTTACATGACTGAACCACACCCCTATTTGCGCTGTACAACACTGCACGACACCCCACTCCTGAGACATCTCTTCCAATCCGGCAAAGGATCTGGAAGATATTACGGCATGTAATTGTAGTCTTGCAGATCGATTCAAATGGTCATAGGTTTCTGTAGCATGAATTAAATATGGTCCTTATCTACTCTTTCAATCCCTCTTCCCAGCATCAACAGGAATATCCTGATGACTCCCCTCCCCACTCGACACAACCCCCAAACCCGACTCGCCCAACCTCGCACTGCCATACCCATTCAGCACGACCAAATCCTCCTCCACATCGCTAAAATACTTATAATCCAGCCCCCGTAGTTCCTCCTCCTCTGTAGCCCTAATATGGCACCCAGGGATCTTATTAATAATGAAGAGAAGAATGATTGAAATGACAAACGACCATGCAGCGCAGGTAGTCGCAGCGGCGAGCTGGTATCCCATTTGCTTCCAGTTGTGGTTCCACCAGCCGCCCTCGTAAGTGTTGCTTTTGCCGTCGAGCGCAGGGATGGTTTTGGAGGCGAAGAAGCCAGTGAGTATGTCACCGACGAAGCCGCCCATGCCGTGGATGGCGAAGATGTCGAGACCCTCGTCTACACGAAGAAGGTGCTTGTATTTTACGGTGAAGAAGGAGGCGCAGGATGTGAGTGCGCCGACTAACGCGGCGGTTTCGATGGGGACGAAGCCGCAGGCGGGGGTGATGCCGACGAGACCGGAGATGATGCCGGAGCAGAAACCTATGATGGAGAATTTGCGTGTGAAGAGGTATTCGAGGGCGACCCAGGCGAGGCCGCCGCCTGAAGCGGCAAGGTTGGTGTTGCAGACGATGTAGATGGAGCGGATGGAGAGATTTGCCGTTGAAGCACCTTGATCACTTATCAGTACGTGGCTATTGCATGCAAGAGATGATATCCCAACTCACCATTAAACGCAAACCATCCAAACCAAATAAATATCGTGCCCAGCCCAATCAAAAACGGGCTATGCGGCCTGAAATGCGGCATTCGCGCGTGCAGCGACTCCTTGTGCGGATCCACACGCGGACCCAGCATAATCGCCCAGGCCAGCGCAGAAAAGCCAGACGCAATATGCACGGGACCTGATCCCGCAAAATCCAGTACTCCAAGCTGATACAACCAGCCGCTGGGGTTCCACTCTGCATACGCGAGGATATAATACACAAACGTCGTCCAGCACAGTAGGAAAATCATTGACGGGCCCAACCGGCCACGCTCCAACATCGCTCCCGCCAGAATCATCGCCGTGGCAGTAACAAAGGTAAACCCGAAACACGCATATAAGATATCAGGGATATCAGAATTTGCGAGAGAGGGGTAGCCGAGTACAGTGTGCAAGCCTGCTTTAGACAAGTCGCCGATAAAAGGACCAGTGGTGTGCGATTGGTAGAGGGAGTATCCATAGACCCAGAATTGGATTCCGGCGGCGCAGGCGCAGAAGAGAGATTGGAAAATCATGGTCATGGCGGCTTTGCGGCGGTGCATGCCTGCGTAGAGGAAGCCGATTGCTGGGGTAATTTGCCTGGTGTTGCAAGTGTTAGTTTTAAGGGGTGTTGTCGTCTCTTTGTCTGTCTGGCAGCGCCATGAAATGGGGGAAGAAATGATGGACTTACCAGCACAGTACTGTGCTGACCAGCATCCAGCATAGGTCCCCTTTGTCATATGGAGCGTTGAGATCGGTAGTCAGTGGGTCGCCCCCAGTCGGAGTGGTGTTGTAGTCTGGCCACTCCAGTACAGGAGTCGGGGCAGGTGGTGTAGCCATAATTCTACTACTAACTACGACTAACAGAACTGCTAGTGTAGGCGGGAGTGCGCGCGCGCTGAATAGCTTTTACACTAGAAATCGATCTGCGGGATGCTAGTCGACACCGGGGAATAACGTTTGCTTATATTCAAGTAATAACCCGTCACATGCAATATATATCTCGCTGATTACCCAAACCAAACATGTTTTTTTCATTCGACCGGAGGTGCCACTGATACGGGCAGCGCACCACCACGGATCCAACGCAAGGTTGCTACCAAGGCGAGCCAGCGTACAAAAAGGAAGTATTCTCCTTGCCTGGTATGGTCGGGGCCTCCGCCATGCGTTATCGTTCCACTTCCCCAGAGCGAGTGGAGACAGCCAAGGAGGCGAAGGGCGGGAGTCCACACGGCAAACGCTTGGCGAGAGATAACGACGCGTGGGGTCTCGGGAACGCCTTCGGAAACATCGACCCAACTTTCCATGTGTTGAGCCCATTTACTTCTCGCTGGAAAGAAGGTCCCAGCATCTGCGCATTCCAGTCGACAACGTCTCGTCGTCCATGGACGCACCATCCACCCACTTGCGGGCCGGCGGGCCCTTGCATACCGGCTCGAAACTTTTTGCGTTATCAGCGTCGATCCTGAACTGATAGGCGTGCATGGTGAGCTTTAAATGAGTGAAGACATGGACCAATGGCGACAAAGACGCCACATAACGCGCTTGACTCATATCAACCTTGCCTGCAGCGAGGTCAGCAACGTGTTTCTGGGCGAGAGTCTTGCGTTGCTGCGGCGTCTTTTGTGATGCCGGTAGTGAGACCTGTGGGAACTGCCTGTGCCACAATCAGTAGACGCTTGGGAGAAGATAATGAGGAAAGCTAAGACGGATGGCCTATCACGACGGGTACCGCGCGGATATGTGTACCGGGGTATCGAGAAGATAGCAACCAACACCTAGGTGTAGTAGCACCTCCGAGTGGCTGGACATGGTTTACGTACCACAAGGATGCCAAAAGCCCTAGCGGCATTTGTTAGTACAGCAACTACTTGAGATACAAGATATCAAACCTTTGCTTGGTCTTTGTTCGATTAGCCACTTGCTTCCACCATCTGGAAAGCACAGCTCAATCATGCACACAACACAATCTTCCTCTGCAGCCTTCTTCTTTGCAACTTTCATAGGAAACAAGGAGCAGTAGCTCAAGATGGGCTTTATATCTGAAGCCGGTGGGGGCAATTTCCGCTTCTTGGACTCTTCCACTGGGGTGTCGTCGGCACTCTCTGGATCAGTTTCGGTGTCAGCGTTAGATTTTGGTGCGCTGACGGTGAAGTAATTCGAGAGGGTGTTGGTCTGCTTCACAGCAGCTTTTCTCTTCTTGGTAGCTCTTGTTGTGTCGTCTGCTGCTTCGTCCTCGGCAATAGTAACCAAATCTTCGGTATCCAGTGGCGCACACAGTATGCATGCATCTTCAATGTCCGGGATGGCAGTAGATGCTTGGCGCTTCTCAGATAAGGCTTTTCCTTCGCTGTATGTTCTGCACGTGGCTTGTATGGGACATTCGTCACACCGTGGTCGTGGAGTACAGATGGTAGATCCGAGTTCCATGAGCGCCTGGTTCCATAGACCCGGTACAGCGTTTTTCCGCTGTTCTGGGTAGTTGGAGGCAAATTTGATCAATTGGTCCGCCATGTCCCACATCACATCTGTCGTCTTTTTATCTTTTGCGTCCATGTACAGGCCCAACTGCCGGCTTAGTACTCTTGCAACGTTTCCATCGAGTACTGGTTCGGCTTCGCCAAATGCGATACTGGATACCGCACCTGCAGTATATCTCCCGATACCGGGCACTTCTTGAAGTTCAACCGCCCCACTGGGAATTACGCCCGAAGCACTAGGTGCAGACGTCATCTGCTTAGCGCCCTCGTGAAGCCGAGTTGCACGGGAGTAGTATCCCAAGCCTTTCCAAACGGAGAGCACATCGTCATGATTTGCAGCAGCAAGGTCTTCCACGGTGGGCCATTTTGCTATCCAGTTGTTGAAATATGGAATGACTGTCGACACACGTGTCTGTTGTAACACTAACGCTTGTTAGTATGGATGGCACGTGAGAGTGGCTAAACTGATGAGCACGTGATGACGCGTTTTGGCGCGTTACGCGATTTAGCATCGCATCGCGTAGCATTTGCAAAAAATGAGAGCGCCTACTTACTGACTTCAGACACCCAAACCTCATAGGCTCTTTTCGATAGAACCCTTTTAAGCTCTTCTTCTCGGCCTTCAAAGTCTGCGGGGTCGATCCACGCTTTTCTCCACGGCATACTACGCGTCTCAGCGACGCCATTGAACCAGGACAGCAACGCGTCGCATGCTGACCGGTTGCCCAAGATGAGCGGGTAGTGGTACGATGTGCTGTGGATACGCGATGGCGGTAGCGCAACGGTGGGTGGTGTTGAAGGGGATGTGATGATTGCCTTGGCAGACTTTGCAGCTTTGTTAGAATTGGCTGCTGCTGTTACGGCTTTCTTGCGCGGAGCCATGGTGCGTCTTGAGCAAGATAAGATAATGATGCGCTTTGAAAGGATACAAGCAAGAAGGGTCAATGATACCAACTATCAATTCCGCTGACGAGCGGCGACGGCAATATGAATGGAGTTGCGATCGCGCTAAGCTTTACTAGCGCGATTACAACAGAGATCGGGCTTCCTCCTGAATGCTTGTCACTTTTGAAGTCCACCAAAGAATGCCTACTCGCTCTGAAAACAGACACAACATGTAGCCGACCGCGAGTCAATAGTCTTATTATCCACATGGCTAACCAGCATAACACCCACACAAATGCCCATTAACATGAAGCAACCGAGGGCATGCAAACACCCCTATGTAACCAAGAAACATATCAATTCAAATCAATGTGGGGTATAGGAACAAGAGAATATAACCGCAGTAACCAACTGCTTACGAAATCCCAGTGCGTGCTTCGCAAAATTCGCAGAATCCAAACCAAGAATCTAAGCCCAAAACACATGCATGCCGGGTCTAGCCTCAAGCGCGCTTCTAGCAAATGACAATGCAACCGCTATGCTTACGAGAGCTATGAATGCTTCAGCCATATGTCACCGCCCTCTCCCTTTTCCCATTTCTTCCATGCTATTTCGTATGCATCTTCTAAATCCCGAACCCATCTCTTGGTGTCAAAAAGAGGGCTGGTCCACCGTGACTCGTAGAGCATGCGTCGTAATTCACTGAGTCGTCCAGTGGGTCGGTGACCCTCGTACTTGTAATCGCGTGTTAGGCGGACAGCCATGTCCTCGTACTCTTCGTCGCTAGATGCGATAAGCTCTTTCGCAGCTTGTGCACCGGCGGGCGTCTTTGGCAATGCGCCTTTAAGAATAGACGCTGCCATTCGAGAGCACATCTTGTACTTGTATCGTGGTAGCGTTAGCAACGGCGTACCGGACCAAAGCACATCTGCAGCCGTTGTATGAGCGTTGCACTCGGGTGTGTCAAGGAACAGATCGCAGACGCGTGCCCGAGAAATGTGCTGATGCTTCTGGGCAACGTCGGTAAACATGATACGGCTAGCAACTTCTGCACCTGCCCACATGAGAGCTGTTTGCTTCAGATTTGTCTCGCCAAGGTCGGGGAATCGTAATAGCCAGAGAACGGCGTTAGGGATCTTCTCAAGAATGCGCAACCAAGTGCGGAACGTCGTGGGTTCGATCTGGTAGAATGATTAGTCAACGTATGATAATCGGAGTCATGATTGACCTACCTTGTACAGCTGGTTGAAGTTTGCAAGAATAATGGCGTTGTCTGAAAGGTTGGGAAAGATTTCTTTGCGCATCGCCCATCTTCGTTGTTGCTCTTCTTCCCAGTTTGGCTGTCGACCTTGTGAGTCTGGAGCACTCTGTCTGTGGTCACAGCAGAAGAACGTATCTCTGCAGAAGATGATGTTTTCTCCGTATATCCACTTGTCGTCCGTGCCGCCACTGTTGTCATCTACCAGTGCATCTTCAAGGTCGATGTTACGGCGCCATTGACGGAGAGTGTCCGGTGGCACAGCAGTATCATCAGCAAGCAGGTAGTCACACCATTCGGCGCCGAGGGTACCCGCAAAACCCATAAATGCCATTTGAACAGGGGCCGCGCGGGCAGCAAATACTTCATTCCTTGCCCCTCTGGTGTATCCGTTAAGGTTCACAAGGACATGTATGCCGTCACTGGTGATCTGGTGTACCAATCGCTCCGCAGACCAACTGCTGGCGTCATAGAAGACTGGAGATTCCTTCTCAATCTGCTTGCGGTGCTCAGATCCGTCACTCGCAGTGGTCGCATAACAGTATGCTTTTACACGGCTCGGGTCGTGTAACCCAAACACAGACTGCATCAGATGAGCCAGTGGATGGTTGTTGAAGTCTGAAGATACGTAGCCGACTTTCAGATATGGCCTCGGTGGGGCTGGTGGTTGATAAACAGTGGGTGGAAGCCAGGGAACCCTCAATGTTGAACATGAGATACGCAGACCGTTCCGTTGCGATATTAGACGAATTTGCTTGGCCGACATGGGACATGTGAAGGTGTGAAAAGGCAGTACAGTCGGGGCTGCAGGTATCGTCAAGCCCGCCGGGAGCTGCGGCCTTCTGTATGAGGATGATGGTCGCTGCTGTCCAGTCACATGTCGATCCTGGTACCACTGCCAGGTCATCCATCTTATCGCACGCTCAACAAGACGCACGATACGAGCGCCTTCCCACTTCTGACCCTTCCATTTAGTCAATACCCGTCTCATTCTATCCTCCTTCTCTTTGGTGTCTTGTGCGTTAGTGCCAGTGAGAACGAAAGGACGCATGATATCCTGGATGAAGTAGTCGTCCATGACACCTCTGCCCCAGTCTTCGCCATCAGCAAGCTGCTTCTCAACCAGTTTAACAACCTTGTGGATCCATCCGGAACTGGAAGCACCTGGTAGAGTGGCGTCCAAAAGCATGCCGTTCTCATTGACGTGCCAGCGGTCTCTGGAACCGTGATCATCGGCTATTCCGCCTCTGCCAGCCCAGTTGCAAACTGAGTTGAGAGCATTGGCAAGCCCACAAACAGCTTCTGCGAAGTCAGGGCTCGACTTGACTGCCTTGCGATAATAGAAGATTGCATCGGCGATCCGGCCTTTGTCTTTGACGGCGTTGGCAAGATTTGCGAGAGCAATGTCGAACCCTTGATCGCATTGGACGGCCTTTTCGTACATGTTGATAGCATAATCCAGTTGACCAATGTCCTTCAAAAGACTTCCGAGGTTCGTGTACAGGTGAGCGTGAGACGAGTCCAACTGAAGTCCATAGGAGTAGTATGCAAGGGCAAGAGCAACGCCACTGCCCGGAACCAAGCCAGGTATCTGAGGCTGAGCAAAAGCGTGCGACACAGGACTCGGTTTTGCAGGGGCAGACTGTTGCACGCTGGCAAGTAAAATGCCGACGTTGTTGGCTGTTGATGGACTCGGCTGAAGGGATAATGATAAGTAATAAAGAGCCAGGATCTCTCGGACACCGTGTGTACTTTGGTATGTTGGGGTCTTTGGCGAGTTGGTTGCCATGCCGTCTTGGAAGATTTTCGCGAGTGAGAGTAACGAGTTGCTCATTGTGGATATAGCTGCTTTCCGCGAAAGACCTTCACTGGAAACATGTTTCAGACCAGGGAGCTGGCCATGAGGTGGGAAGCAAAGCTGAGCCGTCCTAGTAGCTGCATCCGGTGGCAACAGGATTGGATCGGATGAGGGTGGTACACGGCGTCCGCCTGGTGAACGCTCCGCAACGTCGTATCCAACAACGGCAAGGATACGCTTAATAAGGCCATCGATACCATTGGTGTGTGGTCCAGTCCCAATAAGAACTGCATCTTCAAAAGCTCTGGCAGCGGCTGCATTATCACCAAGTGCGTAGAGCATGTTACCCTTCGCATGTACCAATGCAAGAATGCGACCGTTATCGCAACCTGCAATGGCATATCCACTCGAGCCAAAGCCGGGTTGATCCGAGCCAGGGAGCTCGTCTAGCTCTTTGAAAACCGATGATTCTTCGCCTTCGAATTCGAAAATGGGGCGATCGGATGCTTCCGAGAGGCTCGACTCGCTATACGTAGAGGCTGAACGCTCGCTTTGCGCTTCAAGGCTTCGCAGGGCATCTCCTCTCTTGACGAACCTGAGCTGGCGTTCGACATCTTCGATGACCTGAACCGCCTCTCGTCCCTTGTGATCACTACAGAGTAAACCAATGAGGTGCTCGACAGCCTCAAAATAGCTTGGACGTAATTTGACAGCGCGCCTCCAATGGCTCTCAGCTTCACGCTTTTGCTGAAGAGCAAGCATGGTAGCCGCCAGATTCGAAATGGCTTCAACATGGCTACATTGGGTTAGCATTGAGTATACACAGAAAACAGGGCGTGCTTACTCTTTGTCCAAGGTCAAGATATGCTTGTACCAGTCTTGAGCTTTTTGGTAGTCGCCTAGTGCGTAAGCCAGACAACCACCCAGAAGAATACCATCGATCCAAGTCCATTTACTTTCCTCGCAGTGTTTGGTGATGGCATCTAGGGCAGAAGCAGTGGTCACGCTTGGAGGTACACCGTGTTGGAGGCTCTGGTGAACACCGGCAACAGATCCAGACATTCGGCGTAAAGTCCGTGGCGGCTCGATAACTGGAGTATGGGGCTGCATGGAATGTTGTAGTGGCATGCCTCCTTGCCACACCTGGCTATTTGGACCAGGACCCCCGGCTGACCATGCTGATAACGAACGTGAATGCGGCATTTGAGGTCTCTTGTGCACGAATTCTGATCCAGGTTGAGGTGACGCATAGTGATTGGGCACTGGACACGATACACGTCGTTCTAGAGATGGCATACTGCTGACGGAAGGACCAGAAACGCTGCCTCCAGGTTGCCGCGGCGGTTTGGGGTAAATATGAGGCCGTTGATGTGTACGGCCATGGGGATGTGAATTAGTCTTTCGGGTCGCTTGTAAATGTCTAAGCATGTCTACATAGACAGCATGGGCCCATGCAAACACCTTTTCCCTCGGCTGTTCGCTCGGAGGTAATGCACTGAAGTCATCGAGCGGGATACTGGGCATGTGCTCAGCGATAGGTGTTGTTTGACCGGAATGCAAGAAATCTTGAGGACGTTGAGTAGGGGGTGGAGGGAGAAGCTGATTTTGATAGTCCAATGCAACGTTTGCATGGGGCTGCGCATATGGCGAAAAATCCAGTTGCGGCCTTGGGGCGCGACCGTAGGCGCCATGTGCATAGTCTAATTGAACAGGATTTGGCTGATGATGTGAAAGATTGGGCATGACATTACTGTATGGGTGACCTGCAAAGGGGTTGTTATGTGAATGACTCCAGTTGTGATTAGGATGATGCAAGAATCGAGGATCGCGCATGGCAGCAGGCCGATAAGGAATGTAGGTGCCATCGTGCCAATATGGGCCGTATGGCCCTTGGTCGTTGGAGACTGTGGGATTCAGGGGTGTTTGAAACGGAGGCCCCATGGGGGTGCAGAAAGGATTGCCGTACATCTGGTAGGGCTCAAGGGGTTGCAATGGGGGTATTTGGTTGAGCATCGAATCAATTTGTGGTAAGTGTTGGGCAGAGAGCCCAGATCCCGTTTCAAAGTAACGACTCGCACTCCATTCCAGCGCATCTCGCTGATTCTGGGCGTGGCCACGATGGAGAGCTGGCGAGCGGAGAGGGAGATCTTTGTTAATGCGATAAGGCATGCCTGATTCGGCGGTCACAGGAAGCAAGATGTGCTTTGTCGCATGGGGCTCTCCGTTTGTCTCGACAGATGTGCCATCGTATGCGGCGGCCAGAATACCATTCGGCGTCTTGCGGCGCAGCATGTGCTCAGCGGGCTTTGGAGTGCGGCCCGTATCGGAGGGCGGCGAACCGTACGCGCTGTGTCTAGAGAGTGGATGGGCGTATTGTTGGGGGATAGAGTGTTGGGCGAGGCTGCGGCCATCGGGGGTAGGGCCATTGCGGAGGTAGGAGGCGTGTGACGGGGCAGGCGCCATGTTGCTGTAGCCTGGGGTGGAAGGAAGCTGCGACGGCGGCTGCGGGGGGTATGGCCGAACCATGGTCATGGTGGGGGAGCCGTTGGAGGGAATCTGGTGGTGGTGTATGTGTGTGCGTACGTGCGTGCGTGGGTGAATGGGGCCTGTCGCGCAGGAGACCAAGATAGGCAGCGAGCAAGAGGGTGTGTACCGGTGGTCACCTTTGGGACGACTGTCTGGAGCCAACTGTGTGGTGACAACCCCACAGCACAGCTTCACCAGGAGCGGCTGGTGCCTATGCCTTCGCGGAATCGTCGCCCGTCTGCTGCGCTTGACATATCTCTGGGGGGAGGTGGATTGGACTGCTCAGCACCGGGCGTCGGCGTGCTGGCAGGTTAGCCGCAGGGAGCCCGGCGACGGTGGAGTGCTTCGAGGGCGAGAGAGGGTCGCTCAAGTGCGGGCCCTCTCTTTGCGAAGTGCAGCAACGGCAGAACCGGGCGGGCAGGGGTGGTGTCGGGACGGTGGGCGTTGTGGTGCAGTGTGCAGTCGTAGGGACGCGGTTTCTGGGCGTCGTGTCGCGGGAAGGCCGTCGTTGGTCGAACGGGCTGAGGAGGCAGAGTCAGCGTGTTACGGGCGGGCTGCGACTGGGGGCGCAGCAGCGGTTCCGTCACGTCGTGTCAGCAAGCTGCACGTCGAGGCGGCGATGGCTGCTTTTTTACCCTTGGGGGCTCACGCTCACGCACACGCTTGCGCTCACGCTCGACACACACGCACACTCGAGGGCGGATAGGCGGGCGCGCGAGATGACGAGGTGTGGTGTGGCGGAGACGAGGCAGCGGTAGGCCTATCCGCTTTCGTATCCGCTCAGTGGTTCGAGAGGTGGCTTGGAGCGATCCCTGCCGGGTGACAGACGGTCTGGGGGATGTCCGCCAGGCGATCGAGCGGGATCGAGGAACGCGCGCTACGGCGGGCGAGCTGGACGAGCACCGGCGGGAGTAGTGGCGGCGCTGGGCATGGATATGGATGTGGATGGCAGGATGCAGGCAGGATGTAGGCGGGATGCGTGGGAACAAGGACAAGGACGCTGCCAGCTTCTTCTACTATCGCCGCCGTCCAAGTAAGTACATGGCCATCGGTGGACGCTGACGCCGCGACTGCATGGAAAACAAAACTTGGCCATGCTAGTAGCCTGCAGACTGCAGAGAGAGACATGAACAAGCCAGAGACGGCGCCTTGCAGGGGCCCTCGTCCATTGACGCGGGTGCCGCAATATCCACAATGGCCCATCCATCATTCACCAGCCCGTCCGCCCTGGGTGCTTGCATAGTGCATCCTTCTGGCTGCCTGACTGACTGACTGACCCGCCCGTTGTCCGTTGTGAACACATTCACCAGACTATGTAAGCATGTACTTACATGCATGCACACTCTAGTTACTTACTTCCACAGACACATGCAACAATCACCATACCCGCACGCCAAGGGCTCCCGCGTCAGCCATCATCGTTGATGCAGCCGTTTCATGTGCCATGCAGATCCCCCATAGCGCGACAAGGTACCGCCACACCACATCATGCACATCACAAACACACTCAATAACTACACAAACACACACATAAGCATGTTGACCGCGGAAAAGGACCACTGAAGCCACCCGAAAGGAAAGGCTCCGCGGTGAGTAATGGGTCGCTTTCTTCTTCTTCACACCAAAATAGGCCTATACAGTAAGGGAAGTAAGGGCCAGAGTGTTGGTGAAGTGATGCATCATCACACAGTTACAAGGATTCCAGGGTGCCCTGGACAGCCTGCCTTCTTGTCACCAATCAAGCCTGGGGTCAAACTCATCAGTCGATTTTTTTCTCATCAGTCGACATTTGCCAAGTTGACCCCCATCTTGCAACATGGGAATTTGCCAGGCAAGATTGCGCTTTGGAGCACATGCTGCATATGCCCATGCGACACCGCCTGGTCCATGTTCAATAGAGATGCAGCGGCTCACCGCAGGAGCCCTCGTTCCTCAAGGCCTATGCCAGCCGATACTGGCGGGCCCATGCTGACCATGCTAGTACTGATGCTGGAGAAGGGCGGCGCCCTTTACATGGCGGGTTGCGCCGTCGTTCCAAGCGCATTCCTCGAGGGATGTGCGGCCGCGCACCAGACCCTGCCAAAGGGATGCTGAGTGCACAGCATTCGACAACGGTTGACCTAGTCGGATTCGTGAAACAATAAGGCGCACACCATGGTGCGGATAGGGTATCCTGGGAGTATGTGGAAACAAAGTGTGAGATGTTGTGAACAGGTGAGGTGGAAGGAAAAGCTTTTAGTAGCTCGCAGAGAATTTCATGTATCCAAGCGTCGCTTAGTCACCCCGCCCGGACCTACCTTCCGCCGGCCTGGGGTTTGATGTAATGTGGCATCACGAAAGTCCACCGTGTCAACCGCCGAACGCTTAGTTTTTCCAGAGTCCTCCATCACCAACCTGATTTCCCTCCGCATCGATCGGTCAGGTCATCTCTTTCGCCCGCGGTTCAAACTCTCGCTCTCACCATGGCCGAACAAGAACAACCCCCGCCAGAGTATGAGACCCATCAAGGCCCGCCACCACCGGGCTCGATTGCCATTCCGATACCCCTCGGACCCAACGGCGAAAAGCCCACCCCCGAGCAAATCCAGCAAATCCAGATGCAAATTGCCGCCGAGGCTCAAAGGCATGGAATCTCAATCCAGGAATATGTTCAGCGAATGCGACAGCAGGCCATGGCTCAGCAACAGATGCAGATGCAGGCGCAGATGGAGGCCCAGCAGCGTGCGCAGCAGCAGCAGCAACAGCAGCAGCCCATCCAGCCCGGCCCACCCAAGCCCGAAGCCATTGCTCTTGCGAATTGGCTCAAGTCGCAGGACTTGAAGCCTAGAACCGTCGTGCACGACGAAAAGAGAAAGGACATGTTCAGAGGTAGGATGCGACCATTTTTTGTCATGTGAATATGCAATTAACAAGTAAATAATAGTCAAGCGAGCAATCCGCGCCATCCAGTCTCCCGCATACCAAAAGGCACGGGCTAAGAACCCTCTGCTCCCAGAAGTCCACGACCGTGTTACCGCAGAGAACTGTTTCAAGCTCCTGCCGCTTTCTCTACTTGCGCTCCGGGTATCCAAGGCCGATGAGGATGAACACGAGGGCCATAACCACGCCAAGCCCAAGCGCATCAAGGGTCTATGGACGGTCAAGATTGAGCAGCACCAAGACGCAAATGACGACAGCTACTACATTTGGCTGTACGAGGGATCGCAATGGAAGCAAAAGCTGTACGCTCTTGGCGCCTTGGTGGCCGTGATTGCCATTGTGCTGTTCCCGCTGTGGCCGCTGATGCTGCGCCAAGGTGTGTGGTACTTGAGTATGGGCATGCTTGGCCTGATTGGACTCTTCTTCGTCATGGCCATTGTCCGCCTGATCCTCTTCATCATCACGATATTCGTTGCGCCCCCTGGTCTCTGGCTCTACCCCAATCTATTCGAAGACGTCGGTTTCTTCGACTCGTTCCGACCTGTGTGGGCATGGCAAGAGGTACGTGAAACATTATCCGCCTTTTTAACCCTTTTCAAAGTGTATTAACAAATGGACAGACTCCCGAGGATATCAAGGCAAAGAAGGCAGCAAAAAAGGAAAAGAAAGCTGCCAAGTTGGCTGCTAAGGCTGCGGGTATCAAGGGCAAGAAACACGGTCATGATGCTTCGAGGACAACGACTCCTGTGCCGCCAAATGCCGCTCCTTTTGCTGCTCCTCCTGCACCTGCACCTGCACCTGCATCTGCGCCTGTGGATAACGCACCACAAGCTACTGGGGCTGAACCTACAGCAGAGGGCGGAGCAACTCAGCGGCCACCACGGGCGACTGTGGAGGAGGTTGAGGAGGAGTAGTGTAGGTGCGCGTGTTTGTTTGTTTGTTTGTTTACTTGTTTAGCTTGCACTAGGTAGATAGGGAGCGCAAAGGTAGAGATGAGGGGACGATGATACTATGCATGGGTTAGCAGGCGAAAATTTTGGCGTTTTTCACTTCAAACAAGTGTCTGTGTTCTGGGAACCGAGGTGACGCGTGATACTGAGGTGGAAGGAGAGAGTATCTGCAGTCGTACTCTAGCTTCTTTTTTTTTAGTATTACAAGCGCTTTACTTGGAGATTCTTTCTATTTCAATTCTTTCTATCCAATTTTTCCCTCTCTCTCTCTCTCTTTAGTCATCATTCTTGTTTTGTCCAACCTAACTTACACGCTTTAGTAACACTTGTCTCGAATCTCAGTCATCCAAAATTCTTCTTTTTTATTAAGTGCCACCGTTTGTTTTACCTTTTGCGCAAATTTAAACTTTTTTTTCTCCTTCCTCTCCCGTGCCAACTGAAACTTTGTTACATTCCAGGGTCCCTTGAGGCGTGCGGAGGAGGGACACCACGGTGATCAATGTGCACGTGTCCAAGCTTTTTTCTATTGCGTTTTTTTGGGGGAGGGGGACCCTTGAAACATGTTGCGAGGAAAGTTTGAAAGAAAGGGTATAACGGTTTTTTTTCTCTTTTTCGGATTTTCATAGGGAGGGGAGTTGAGACGGGTAAGGGCCTAGAGTGTGTTTTCGGTGTGCGGGGAATAAAGGTATGGGAGGCAGGACTGTTGTTATTGCGGTATTCCGAGGTTGGAGGGAGTGTAAGGAAGGAAGTAGAGGTTGGGACTAGTTTGTTGTTTGCGTAATAGCTGGTTTCGGATGTGGAGCTACATATTACACAATACTAAAGAGTGAGCGCGTACTTATTAGCAGGGGCTTCTATGGAGAAGAGGAAAATTAATACAGTCCGCTATGATTGTGTGTATTGGTAGGAGTAGTTTCGAACAGGTGGCAGGAGCGCGGGTAGACAAGGGTGTTTGGGTGTCAAGTCAGGATACCCATGACGTATCTGCTCGTGTTGTATAATTGCGCCATATATCTCTTGTTTCCTTCTCGTACATGCATCCAAGGCATGATCTCGTGATTATCGTCATTTCGTTCTAGTTCTCGCGTGGTCGTTACAAGACAATGTGATGAGCAAACAATCAATTCGAGACCAAAAGTACAGTCATCTCGGAACCACACATGCGCAAGCTAAAATAGTCAATTAACGTGACGATTTCAGCCACAAGCCACTAGTCGTACTTCAAATTACCGAAAAAAAGAACGATGACTAGGAGTCACTGTTTTTTTATTCTCAAAACCATGTCAACGCCATTACCATGCAACCGCCGCCACCGTCAGAATCGTGTCATGAGAGGAGAAGCCCAATCCGATGCCGGTGGAAAAAGAAGACAACAAAAAAGACCAAAAATTACTCTGCAGTGGCAGATGGCTGGGCATCCTGGGGAGCATCGTCACCGTCATTGGCCTGACGATTAGGGGTTGGGGCAAGACTAGAGTGGACAGAGGGAGAGTGGGTAATTTGGCTGGTAGGGTTTTGCTCTGCTAGCTGGCGTTCTACAGAAAAATCATGGTCAGTACTAGTGTTGTGTTACAAGTGGATGAGTACATACCTAGTTCTCGTATCCGCTGCTTGAGCATCTGGTTCTCGCGAGTCAGGTTCTGAGTCTCTGCCTGGTAAAAAGCACTTTCATCTCTAGCGGCTGCAGGGCTGGGAAGCATGTCGTGGGGGTCGTAGGAGCCGGCTTGGCCGGATATGGGCCGCAGGGCGGGAGAGCCCGCATGACTGCTGTGGCGCGAGCGGTCTGCAAACGACGACTGGCGGCTGATAGAACCCAGGCCAAAAGGCGAGCGGGAGCGGGGCTGGGCGGCTGAGGGCAGCGGCGACATGTGCTGCGAGTGCGAGTGCGAGGCGGGAATGGACATGGAGCGCTCCGAGGTGGGGGTGCCGTCGTCAACAACAGCAGAGGCGGACGAGGGGTGCTGGTTGGCTTGAAGGCTGTTTATCTGGGCCTGCTGGGCGCGGATCATATTGAGGAGGCGGTTGACCTGGCCCTCCTGCTCAGCCTCGAGCTCCTGGTGCAGCTCACCTAGGCTGGGGGCGCGCTCATGGTGTGGGCTGTGTGGCCAGGTACCGGTGCCTCTGGCGCGGGCTGAAGGGCTCTGCTGCATTTCGCCGGGGGCAGGTAGGGCGGGATCGTTGAGGTTGAGGTTCATGCGGATGCTGGAGCGGCGACGGGCACGTTCTGCATCTCTCCGTATGTCACCTGACGAGGGCGAGCGCGAGTCCTGGTTGTGGATGCCGGCATTCAAGGCAGCCGTGGCGGCGAGCGAGTGGGGAGAGCGCGAGCTGGAGGGCGACTGGGTGCGAGGCGAGGGTGAGGCGTGGGGAGGAGGGGAGATGGTGTTGACGTCGGGCATGGCGGGGGACGGGACGGGATGGGGTGATGTAAAGTGGGGTATAGGAGTTGTAGGCGTAGATGTGCGTGTGTACGGTATGTGAGGTGGATGAGAAGATTGATGGATGTACTACTGTAGTCGCGGTAGTCAGCGGGCAGTCCGTCAGTCGTTCAGTTAGTCAGTCAGTCAGTCAGTCCGTCAGTCAGCGTCAGCGTCACCAGACAGCTGTGGTGGGGTGACTGGAACTGGAACTGGTTCTGGCGGGGCAAGTCGGACGGCCGCGCTACTGCAGGAACACCAAAGCCGGCCAGCCTTGCCCTGCCGCCCCCCTGCTCCCCTCCTCCCGCTTCTTACCACTACCAACGACTACGTACTGTACTGGTCAGCATCTCATCATCGCCATCGCCATCTCCATCAGCCCTCGATCCCGTCCGCCTCATCTTTATCATCCCCATGCCCGTCGTCATCTCGACATGTCACCAACGGGAATAAGATTTGCAGCCATGCCACCCGCTTGCGCGGGCTAACATGGCCTTCCCCGTGCACCCGCACCGCACCAAACTCTACTTATGCACCTCGCTGCCTGTGGCACACGCTGAGACACCAGGCCAAACATTGTGCCTACGCCCCTGGTGACCTTCTACCCACGCTGCCACTACGACTTCATTTTCCTTTTGGCCTCGTCGTCGTACCCTGACCATGTTTGTGACGGACGTGCCACACTGGCCGTAAAAACAAGTTCACCGCCCAAACACGATCCAATATCTCCCCACGCCCCAGTATTGCCTGGCGTCGGCTGCTACGGCCACACTGCCGCTCCCTGCCCGGCCTTGTCCTGCAGAGTTTCGCTAATAATACTTTTTTCTGCGACCCTGTCCTTTCCACCCCGCCCCGGAGAGCGGCCAGGTGGTGGATTCTGCTACAGACTACTCTGTCCTCGTCATCACTTTCGTCGTCGCTGTCTCCGCCTTTGCAAGGTCCTACCTAGCCTCCCTCTCTCTACCAAGACGCGTCGTCGCGTACCTACACCCCAACTAACCCCCATTCACATCGGCGCGCTTCGTCCGCGTGCACAGCCAAATGCTCGTGTTGGCTGGGCCAGCGCACTGTCAAAAGACGTTGTGCCGGCCCTCTCCCGGCTAGCCTGCTTGCAGCGCGCCAAAATAACCCTGGTCTCGATTAGCGCACGCCGTCGCCATCTCTCCCTTCCCAACTTTGTCTTCGAGCTGGCAGTATAGGGGCCACATTACACCCCCTGCGTCTTCACATCACACAGGGAACTGCTCCCCTGGCGCACTACCATGATTACCCATCCTTCATCTGCGGCAACTAACACTCGCCACCACTCCTCTCCCTCTTCCGCGACTCTCGTCACCAAAGCCGACTCGTGTCGTCGTTTCACTTTGGTCAGCTTTCTGGTCCTGTCCACATATCTGCCGCCCAGCGCCGCCGCCTACTTCTTGTTCATGGGCTCATGTCCCGTCCGCTCGTTTGATCTTCGCTTCTCCTGGTGCTATACCACCACCACCTATATCCCGCTCCTTGTTCCTTTCCGCTGACTCTCCCCACATTGATTGATCCCCAATTCGGCTCTTTCGTTATCCTCGACTTCCCAATCGCTATTGTCACACTCTCACACACGGACCATATTCGACCAACGTTTGCACCCCGGCCGTCCCTTCCGAGAGCCCTTGACCCCCGAGAGACCAGCCTTCCCTGTCGCTCTCCATATCGACAGATTCGACTGTCCCGTGCAGCAACCAATCTGCCACACCTACTACCCACTTGCCTTATCCCCTCTAAATCACATACTCGCCGGAACTCACGTTTACCCTCCAGTCGCTCTCTCACATTTCCACTATACTGCCGCTGTGCAGTCACAGCACATTCACAATGGCCGACCTTTCGGCACGGCCGCCCATGTCCAGATGGCGCCTCACCCGCTCCACAGCAAACTTGCGAGAAGCAGCACGAGAAGCAGCACGCTCACCCTCGGTAGCATCCAAAGTATCCGTACCCGCTCCACCAAAGACGCTCGAGCGTGTATCTTCTAGAATGTCCTTGTTCAACTTGTTCAGCAAGCCAAAGGTAGAAAAGGCCCGCGGTCACACAGAGGTTGGTCTCGCAGTGCCAATGCGGCCACAAACGCCACCAAAGCCGACTGCTCCCATGTCCATACCTAAGTCTTCACTGCGACAAAACCCTTCGCCCCCCGCTCAGCAGACAATACGCGCCCGAGCAAGCCAAAGATTCCGGCCCATATCTATGCGCTCCGGTGTATCATATAACGAGTTTGGTGACTGGGAGCCGCCGCCACTCTTCCAGGCTTTCCCCCAGTCCATCAAGCATGCTACCGTGCAAGCCTGTGTCTTTGCTCCAGAGGTCTTGATGCGGACACAGAGCCAAAGACGGCAAGCAGAGTCCCTACTCGAGAGAATCGACCATGAACGCGAACTATCCACCATTACTGAAAACAGCACAGAGGCCAAGAAGTTGGAGAAGAGTCACAAACGCCTCATATCCCACTCGGTGCTTCACCCACCTACACCAGAGCTTGTCAACAAAATCTACGTCCTCGTCACTAGCGGGTACATCCTGCAATATGCTGGTGATGGCCCCTTTGACAGGGTACCGGAAAAGGTGCTCAAACTCGGCAAGGAGTCTGCGGCTTTTGCCTGTGACCTCATACCCGGCAAACATTGGGTGCTTCAAATATCCAGCCATGCTAGCGATGATGGCGCACTCGAAGTTGGCCCAAAGAGCTCAATCCTAGCACGTCTGCGGACACAACATCTCAACACACGCAGGTCCGTAACGAGCTTCCTCTTAGTTCTTGAGAGCGCCGAAGAGATGGACGAATGGATGACGAGTGTGCGAAGGGAGATTGATAACCTTGGTGGTACAAGAACAAGGGATGACTCTGCCCGAGCTTCTTGCTCTACCGATGGCGGCTCGGTAAGCAAAGAGTCTGCTGAAATCGCCAACCATCGGTTCAGGGTCAGTCGAGACGCGTACAACATGAGCAAGGTTGTACCAATCGAACCACGCCTTTCAGCGTCGCCAAAAATCATCACCTCGGACTGGGAAACGAATCCTGAACAGACCAAACGAAGCATCGACTCATCAAGCGGACAATCTCATCGACAAAGCAGCCGTCTCTCCGTCGAGACGTCATCAGCCACATCGACACCGGTATCCCAACACCAGATGCAACTCGAACAATTGCGCGGCCGCTCACGGTACTCCTTCATGTCGTCATCGACATCTTTCTCTGGCGCCGGGACCCAGAACACATCGCGCGAATCATCACCCGCGCCACAATCACCTCTGATGGAAGAGTGTGGTGCGACTGGCGACAACGAGCCCCTCCGAAGTGCCATGTCCCTGCGATCCTTCCAAATGAATCCAAACAGTTCAATGTCATCCCGACGTAGATCCATGCAGCCACTGCCGACAACTGACGAGAATCTTCTGCAAACAGCTGAGACATTGTCTAAGAACTTGCGTCATTCTCTCTACAGTCCTGCCTCACCCACGTTTCCCGGGATTGAAAACCCTTTGGCCGCAGGCCCAATTATATCAGTCAACCAAGCACCAAGTCTGGACCAACCTCAAGAAACTGAAATCGGTTTGGCATACTCATCACCCCCGGAGCTCAAGAACGATATACCAGACCAGCCCGAGGAAGATGACAGCCCTCCCGCTCGCGAGGATAGCCCGGTGAGGTTCAATGCTCATGTCTACAGTTCACCACCTAGGAGGGACGTCATCTCGCCTCCTCCCAAAGAGCCTGCACCACTTCCCCCACCGCCTGCTCGACGCCAGTCCATCATGGGTAATACGACAACAACAACAGGCATGTCAAACCCAGCGCCCTACCTTGCTTCTACCAGCAAGGTCACCGGCACAAGGCGTCGAACTTCGGGGTCACCAAAGCCCTTTCTGCGACCTATTCCAGTCCGCCCTCAAGCCCAACATATCGATTCTGCCAGACGTCGAGCCAGTCAGACACCCTCACCTACGCCCTCGATTTCTCCCTTGATCGCGAATCGATCTGTGACTGCGCCAATAAGGCCAGCTTCAGCGGCATCCAACATGACAACATCCCCTAGCCTTCATGGTCTTAATTCAGCACAGTCTAACCCACTGCGTCGGCCAGCCTCGGTTCAGATCCGTTCTGATCGAGCACCTTTCCTGTCATCCCGCCCACTGCGCCTCATCTCGTCTACGCCCTCTTTCGTTCCCGGCCAAAGAATGTCAATCCAAGCAGCCCCTACAACTACCAACGTTCAAGCATACCCTAATATCGAGGCGCTGAGGCAACGAACGTTAGCACAGCAAACCAGCCAAAAGACGATTGTAGTAAAGCGTAGTCTAAGTTCAATTGGCCTGCCGCCACCCGCGCCGCCACCAAACATGCCTCTTCCTCCACCTCCTCGCAATATCACATCACCTACTCCGCCGCCCAGCATACCGCTTCCTCCGCCACCACCAACCGCGGATCATCCAGTCACGCCTCTCAGCATGCCGCTTTCTCCGCTCATGGGCCTCCCAGCACCACCGCCTACTGCGCCACTACCCCCTACACCGCCCGAGGTTGCACCTAGGGCTTCTATCGTCTGATTATCACCAAAAAAGATGTCTTATACAAACATCGTGTACACCATGGAGTCGGCGTTTCGAATCAGTCTTTGTTATTATACTATTGAGATTTGGGCCGGCTCTGCTTTCCTCGTCGCGGCTATTACGCTTTCATGTCACTGCTTACCTTGATGCCTGTTCTTTTCTAAAATATTGGTCTGGAGGGGAGAAATTGTCGTATGTCTGTTTTCCGCGCTATACCAGTCCGTTGGGTCTCTTTGTCTCTCCTTTGATTTCTTTTTCCAAGCCCCTTGTTCTCTTCGTGTATCTTCTTTTTTTCTCGCTTGATTGCGTCATTTGCATGCTATACTACGCACGCACGTCTTGATGGGTTGTTTTCTTAATCTTGGTACCGGATATGGCCCTTTTTGCTGGACCAGGGTCCGCAAGGGTCTTCCGTGTAACTGGATCTATTGCGTTTGTTCTTCAAGCACGTCTTATAATGATTTTGTGGAGTTTGATTGGTTATCTTGGTACGGGAGGGGACACGGAGATCAAAAGAGATTTATTTGGGTGGTAGACTTTAGACTAGGTTTTCCCACGTTGATCCGTGCTCATGCATTCGGCTCAGGCCTCTCATGCACTTGGGGGTTGTTGGTTGATTCTATCCTCTTCTCCTTTTCCATTCAGATTGTTTTAAACCTTTATCTGCATTGTGATGTATGTTTGTATAGTGTATTGTCAGGTATGCGTGAGGAAAGGGGGATTGTGTTAGGCCTTGGTGAAGTGCACAAACTGATTTCCTCATACATATTGGCTGCCAGTTTTACTTACTACCAAGGCACTCTCATAACGAAAGTGATGTCAATTAGCTGAATTCCATTTCCAAGAAGAAAATCTTTCCAACTCCCCCCAAAAACACTAACCATGAATTATCTCGTCCACATTTCCCAAATGCCCAGTCACGTCGATACGTAACCCCTCCATAAAGCCCTCAAGCCAAAGCATCCCTGATGTTACAAAACTACACATTCACCCCCTTGATAGTCCTCCCGCCCGTCAACATCGCTCTCCGCATCATGTCCCGTCATCCTTGCCCTCTTCAAACAAAGTCGGCACTCTAATCTACCAAAGTTTCGGATGACACTTATACTTTGCCCTACTCCTCCCCCAAGTCTCCTTCTTCCCCTCGCCGCCCTTCTTCCCCTCATTAACCACGCGACCACAACCGTACTTCTTCCAATGACCCGAAAGCCCGTATCCCTTCTTCTTCTTCTTTTTCTTGTCTTTGTTATTCTTCTTGTGCGCGGATTGCGCCGTCGACGCGCTTATCTGGGTTGATGCGTCGACGACGGCTGCGCGGGATGAGAGCGCCCATTCTGGGTGGTAGACGTCGTCGTCGGTTATGCCTTGCCACCATAGTGCAGGGTCCTTGGGGTGCTTGAGGGGCGTGTCGATGGGTTCTGGAGGCACATTTTTGCCGTATTTGCCGCTGGAGCGGGGGGGAAGGGGTTCGCCGGCGAGGGCGAGGGCGGGGAGAAGGGTGGAGGTGGAGAGGAGGGCGATGGTGAGGAGGGTTAAGGTCTTCATTTTTTTATTTTTTTGGTGGTTTTTGTTGCTCTTTCTCTTAGAGGAATGGTGGTGGAGAAGACGTGGTGGGAGAAGCATGGTGAGGTGAGGTGGTCCTATATAGGGGGAGGCAAAGGGGGGTTAAGGTGAAGTGGGTGTTGTGAGTGGTTGGAGAGAGGATCCTGGTTCGGATTTTGGACAAGTATGAAGAGGTGGTTATGATTTGTTGTTTGAGATTTTTGATTGGTGGTGTTTTTACGATCCTGAACGAGACTGGTATATGGGGGAAAAGAGTATAGAGAGATTTGGGAACAGCCAGTTATGGCTGTTCTATTTCAAATTTGTGATATCGGACGGGAAAGCCACCACGACGATTGGGTATTAGAAATGGACGTTCGCTAGAAGAACCACGATAGGGAGGCGAAGTTGAGGTTTGTAATGACTTGGACGCTACTTGTCCTGGGTGGGCAGTTTTTCTTCAACAAGTGCCGTGGATGCGATAAATCCGAAACCAGTCGCGACTGCACGTTGATGCAGCACACTGAGTGGAAAATAGCAATACTTATATTCTAAGTCACTGGGGACCAGACTATCAAATTATGATTGTTCCTTTACATAACCCAGCCAGCTCTTAGGTGACGTATAAGAAGCATCTTCGGTACCGAACCACCATGATACCAAATCGATAGGTGATGTATCACTAGAGCAAAAAGATTGAATTCGACGCCTTTTCTGAGACTTTCTAGATGCTACAAGGACTGATTGGAACTTCAATCGATAAATGTATCCCAGTCCATTTCGCTCACCTCGTCGTCCGAGTGTATCGCCCTACGACCACTAGTCTCTATGGATTGCCTTACTTGGTATCGCCCCTCGCCACCACTATTGCTGGAACCACTACTTAGCCCATAACCCTGACGACTACTTTCACTCATAGGTAGGTCCATCTCCTGCGCCAACTCTCGTGCCTTCCTATTTGCGTAAGCGTGAGCGCTCTCCGCCTCGAGTTCAACTGGTTCTGGCTTCCTTGGGCGCTGCTTCTTCTTCCCCGGTCCACCTGTGTAATCGGAGCTAGAATCTCCGGGTTCTACGGTATCATCGTGTAGAACGGGCGGTACTGCGAGAGGTGTCTGGTTTGCCTCAAAGGCTTCGGGTTTTGGTAGTGTTTCAAGTTCTTCCCATTCTGCGCGGTACTTTGTGAATGAGCGCCAGTCATTGGGCTGCGTGATGACTCTCTCATCCTCATCCTCGTCCTCATCGCTGACCGGATCGATCTGGTTGAGGTACTTGGACTTGGCTGGGTCGTGACCGAGCATGATCCACATCTCTAACTCGTCTATTTGAGCATTCTTTCGATCATGCTGCTTCAGCGTCAGTGTCGACGGCGTTGGTGTTTGACCGTCTCCTGTTGTGTACCGTCCGGTCGTATCTCGGGACTGCTGTGTGGGCTGCGATGGTTGCGTAGTTTCGTCCAGTGACGACTCATCCGAGTCAGACAGTGCAAGTCGTTCAATAGGAAGAGGTGTTCCCTTTCGCGCTGCTCGTAACCGGGCTTCAGCTTGATCATCTGAAGTCTCCACGTCCGTCGTTAGAGTGCTGGCAATGGGCTCCTCTGGGCGCATGATTCGTTCAAACTCATCCCAAGGTACCTCTCTTTTGATTTTCTTGCGACCATGCCGAGATAGCTGCTGATCGTAGACTCTCAGTGCGCACCGTCGAGCAACACCTCTCCATCTCTCTTGGCTGTTTCTAGGCATACCCGCAAGGTCGATGGCGGTACGGACGTCCCTTTTCCTTACTGTGGGAAGTGCACCGTGTGTGGATCTCTTACTCCGCGAGCGTAAACGGGACATTGATTGTATCATAGCCAGTCGTACAAGTCGTGTGGTTATTGATACAACGAGGTTGTGAAAGTCACCAAATGCAGTACGATAGATGGACGGCTCTTGGGCAATGTCTGATGTATATTGCGACCAGTGCAGCCAAGGAGAAGGTATCGTTGGCGAGCGATTCATGAAGACGTCTCTCGACAGCTTCAGCATATTTTGTGGGTGCAACAGTGATCCTTCTGGCAGTGATTCTAGAATAGCGGGTGTAGTTGGTGCATGATCTGATCTATCTGGCTCCCCGTCTTGTTTGGGCTCTTCAGAATTGACAGGTTGATCAGCCCTGGTAGATGATTCAGGATACACGCATTGGGCCATTTTCCGTCGCCTACAGTTACTGCATGGAAGCTCTCGGTCGCACTTTTGCTTAAACTTCTTGCATGACAGGCATGCTCTGCGCAAGTTAGTATTGTCTTCTTGAACACAAACATACACACGTACCCTACAATGACCTTCCCTCCTCTTCGCGGAGGTGCTGGCTCGTCCACCTCGCCGTCGATGGCGTTCTCGATTGCAACAGCCACGGCCGAAGTGATCAACCAGTAGTCGCCATGCTGCTTTTGCTCTTGGCGGGCCTCCCACTTCTCCTGATACCACGCCAGTGCATCGGCTGCAAGTTCTACTTGGGCGTCGCACTCGTCACCAATCTCAACGGCGGCCGGGATATCGCGAAAAGTCAGACCAGCATCGCCCTGCTTGACTGCGGCACCGTGGAGCAACAAGAGCAGTTCGCGTACCTCTGGTATGCTTTTGCCGACTGCATCTGCTATGCCTGGGACATTGTCTCTTCCCAGTCGCTGTAGAGCCGAGTAAAAAGTAGCTTGCTCGGCTGTAGACCACAATGAAGAACCAATTTGCCAAGAATAAAAAGCATAAGGCATGTGTCTACTGTCGAAGCGATTGGCAGCTTGCTGAACAATTCCATTGAAGAGGAGGCGGTATCGGTCACAGTATTTTCCTTCGAGGTGATATTTTCGGGGTCGTGCCAGTCTCTCTGCATCTGTTCGACGGCGCTTGGACGACCGAGAAGGCTCGTCAGTCCAGTCGGACTCAGCCTGCATGGCGGGCAAGACCAGGGCAGCCGTAGCCCAGTACACCTATCTTGGCAGGAAAAACAGCAGTGAGTGGCAGTGTGTACATGCAGCTAGGTGGTGAAAGTAGTGGTAGTGGAGTGGGTAGCAAAAGCAGAGAGGCTTGCTCTAATGTCACGTGATGAATACTTTGCCCGAATGAGCGAGGCTGCTGGCAGATGCGTCCCATACACTAGAACAGTTCAGGACAGTCCCATACTCGGACGTGGCTTGCTCTCGGCTATGCCACTACCATTACTTTTGCCATTCGTCTGTAATTATAGAAATATTCCTGCCGGAGGTGGCAGTGGTTGGGGAGACATTTAGGTGGGGCTCTACCGCGGCCGACTTTGCGTGTACTGCGTCATGCATCGTGATTTGGCGACAGTTTCGCTCCCCCTCGACGCGTCTTCATGTTCCGCCATGCGCTGAGACTGTGCACTCGGCCAGGCTACCGACCTGTCTGGGTAGTAGGAAGAAGCGCTTCACGGCTGGCCAGGACCAGGAAAAAAGCTGCCGTACCAGCTGTGCCCTCATCATCGCCATCCTCGCCACCATCACCACCATCACCTACACATCCACCCGCCGTTGTCCTACGCGAATACCAAGAAGAATGCATCCAAGCCGTCCTGTCGTACGTCGAGCGCGGTCACAAGCGCTTAGGTGTATCATTGGCAACAGGCTCTGGCAAAACCGTCATCTTCACTCACCTCATCGATCGCGTCCCCGCTCGTGGCAATGCGACCCAGACACTCATCCTCGCCCATCGCCGTGAGCTCGTTGAGCAAGCCGCGCGCCATTGTGCCCGTGCATACCCCACCAAGCATGTAGACATTGAAATGGGCAACCATCAAGCCTCGGGTGCCGCCGACATCACAGTTGCCTCTATACAAAGCATTACATCAGGCGACCGCCTTGACAAGTTTGATCCCACCCGCTATAAACTCGTCTTGGTCGACGAGGCCCACCACATTGTCAGCTCGACCTATCTTGACGTCCTTGAGCACTTTGGCCTGCGCCATGCTACCGACTGGAACAACACCACCGCTCCTGCTCTCGTTGGCGTGTCGGCTACCTTATCCCGCTTCGACGGCAGGAGGCTGGGCGCTGTCATTGACCACATTGTCTACCACCGGTAAGTCTTGACATGGGACGAGTGTCGAGTGAGCGAGCTAACCCTCAGACAGTGACTATGTGGACATGATTGAAGAGAATTGGCTCTCTGATGTAGTCTTCACAACCGTCGAGATCAAGGCCGACTTGACCAAAGTGAGCACAGGGTCCAATGGCGATTTTCAAGCTGGTGCTCTTTCGAGAGTAATCAACACCGACGAGACGAATAATCTTGTACTCAAGGCCTGGACAGCAAAGGCAAAGGACCGGCACTCGACGCTTATCTTCTGCGTCGACCTCAGCCACGTCACCAATCTCACAAACATGTTTCGCCAGGCTGGAATTGATGCGCAATTCGTCACTGGAGAAACACCAACCAAGGTCCGCAGCGCAAGGATTGACGCTTTCCGAAACAAAGAATTTCCCGTGTTGCTCAACTGTGGCGTATTCACCGAAGGCACAGACATTCCCAACATCGATTGTGTGCTTTTGGCCCGACCAACCAAGTCTCGTAACCTCCTGGTTCAGATGATCGGACGCGGCATGCGTCTATACGATGGTAAGGACAACTGTCATATCATTGATATGGTCGCCGCTTTGAGTACTGGAGTTGTTTCTACCCCTACCTTGTTTGGTCTGGATCCTGCGGAAATCGTAGACAAGGCAGACACAAAGACTCTAGCAAAGATCAAGCAAAGAAAAGAAGAAGAAAAGCAAAGAGAAGAAGAAGCTTCAATGGCAAAGCAGGCGACTGTCGCCAAAAAGCTGCCTGGCAGCATCTCCTTTACCGATTACGACTCTGTACACGATCTCATAGCAGACACTTCTGGCGATCAATACATACGCAACATTAGCCCAAATGCATGGGTAGGTGTAGGCGAGGGCAGGTACGTTCTCTCTGGGAATACTGGGAATTATCTCGTCATCGAGCCCTCGGACACCGCAGATGGTTTCTTCAGAGCAAAGTACTATTGGAAGATTCCTATCACCAAGCAGACGAAAAGCCCATATGGTACACCGCGCGTCATCGCTGAAGGCGAGTCTTTCTCGCATGTCGTCCATGCCGCTGATACATACGCGGCGGACGCGTTCCAATTCTTCTATATCAATAAGAACCAGGCATGGCGAAGAAGCATCGCTTCCCAGGCACAAATCGACTTTATCAACAAGTCTCGGCCTCAAGAAGACCACCTGAAGCCAAGCGATGTCACAAAAGGTAAAGCAGCCGATATGATCACACGCATCAAACATGGTATCCGTGGTCGGTTTGACAAAGCCAGCGTGAAGCAAAAATCAGAGCAGCGCATGAAGGCTCGCGCCGAGACATTGCAACAGCGACTCCAGGGGCATGTTCAAGTTGGGCCCACAGGACAAGGCCAAACATTAAAAGAGAAGCTACTTGGATGAACTGGAAGTATATTTTATGTTTTCAAAGTCATGGGTGGCTGATCGCTTATAGCTGGGGCCGTCAAGCGCGCTCTGCACTTGTACCCCGCGGAGAAGCGCGCACTGTTTCTACCAGCCCATCAGGACAACCGGTCCCCTTAGATCTATGTACATCTATGGTCAACGCTATCAAGTCCGCTCGGTCTAATATTTTCCCCGGACTCCCTCAAAGACCGGGCGAACTCTACTACGCAAGATTTGGTGTGGTAAAAGTAAACATTAACCCTATGATTGCGCGGGCGCTTTGATTGACCATGCACCTGTAGAAGTTGGAAGACTGGCATCGTTACGAATGCTTTTGCTTCGCGCGAATCCATCCAACTTGCATTAGAATCCGTGGTCTCAGGCTGAGCCGGCGCATCAAACATGGCTTGAAACCACGCTATACTGCGGCTTCTACAAAATCGTCGCGAAACGGGAGAAAGTATGCTCGGATGGTGCATCTCCGCTGAAAAGATCTTCAACCCAATGTTTCCACGATAGCCCCCACACTGTATCCACTCTGTGCGGTCCGGCCAGGAACATCGTCTAGCTGCCCAGAAATCGCCCACTATTCGCCACGCCGTATCGGGCGCTATTCCTCTTTCAGCGTCAAAGATAAGGCCGCATATCAAAACTCTGTAGTAATTCGGTATGGCCAGAGCCTAGTCCGCCATGACAATCTAGGCGATGACGACATACAGGGTTTGACGTCTTCTCCACAGATTGAAGTTGGGTTTCCGCGGTATTCCTATGTAAGCTTCTGACGTTGGTGGAAAGATCATCTTTGTTACTTACTGGAGGGCCGCTCGGTTTGTACCCCAGAAGCACTATAGCATCTAGCTGAAAGCCAATAATTCCAGAAGTTCAACTTCTCGTCGCTACCTCTAAATTTACTGCTCCACTCCGCTTTTGTGCCCGACCTTCTTTTCTTGCTTGGTCTTTGTTCTACGTTTGTGCATAGCCAAGCACAGTACCCGTCTGTCGGCACCAATCTAAGTTTAGGTACCGCACGCTGCATCTGCACCATGAGCGTAGTCACCCAAAAGCAGACGGCAGTCCCTATGTCGTTTCTTCATGAACGCCAGTTACAGACTCACGCAGACTCCACATCAAAACAATTACCTCCATCACCACCAGAAACAGTCGATGGCAACGATGTCGAATCGACTACTTCAACATCAACACAAGAGGACTTTCCACTTCCACCACCAGCAAAAACTCCACCCCAAGTTCTAGAACTCGACAAATCCACCCCAGATGCACATGTCCCACGAGATCCGAGGCTGATTCGGCTGACGGGCGTGCATCCATTCAATGTCGAAGCACCACTGACTGATTTGTTCAACGAGGGGTTTCTTACTAGCCCTGAGTTGTTTTACGTTAGAAACCATGGAGCAGTACCGGAAGTTCAAGATGCCGAGTGTTTAGACTGGGAGTTCTCCGTAGAAGGGTAAGTCATTATTCATTCCAACAAAGCAATTATATATTGAGACTCTTGTAGCATGGTAGAAAACCCTTTGAAGATTACTCTGCGACAACTACTGGAAGAATACGAGAATGTGACATATCCTATCACTTTGGTCTGTGCTGGCAATAGACGAAAAGAACAAAATGTTGTGAGAAAGAGCAAGGGCTTCTCGTGGGGTCCGGCTGGAGTTTCCACCGCTCTTTTCACCGGCGTTGTGATGAAGGACATCATTGAACGAGCGAAGCCTCTACGGAAGGCCAAGTACGTTTGCATGGAGGGAGCTGACAAACTCGTAAGTGGCCGCACTTAATGTATCTTCTGACTACTGACACTTCACGTAGCCAAATGGGTACTACGGCACTTCGGTAAAACTCAACTGGGTCATGGATCCCAACCGAGGAATTATGCTGGCACATAAGATGAACGGCGAGATGCTGAGGCCCGATCACGGAAAACCATTGCGAGCTGTGATACCTGGCCAGATTGGCGGCAGAAGTGTCAAGTGGCTAAAAAAGCTGATTATCACCGCTGAGCCTAGTGACAATTGGTACCACATCTACGACAACAGAGTACTACCTACCACAGTCGACCCAGATGAAGCGGCAAACAACACCAAATGGTGGATGGACGAGCGGTATGCCATCTATGATCTTTCGCCTAATTCAGCTATTGCTTTCCCCCAACACGGAGAGGAGTTGGGGCTTTCTTCGAGTCAGAGTACCTACAATGTGCGTGGTTATGCCTACAGTGGTGGCGGCCGGCGCGTAACACGTTGCGAACTATCCTTAGACCAAGGAAAATCATGGCGACTTGCAAACATTGACTATCCAGAGGACAAGTACCGCGCTTTCGATGATCGACAGCTGTACGGTGCAAGATTGGACATGGACTGGCGTGAAACAAGCTTCTGCTGGTGTTTTTGGGACATTGAAATCTCAACCGAGGAACTCAAACAAGCAGATGACATTGTAGTCAGAGTCATGGACGAAGCCATGTGCGTGCAACCAAAAGACATGTACTGGAGTGTCCTGGGTATGATGAACAATCCCTGGTTCCGAATTGTGATCCACAAGGAAAACGATACAATGCGGTTCGAACATCCTACTCAGCCTGCCCTGATGCCTGGTGGATGGATGGAGCGTGTCAAGAAGGCCGGTGGTAACCTTTCCAACGGCCATTGGGGAGAGAAGGTGGGCAACGAAGAGCCAGAACATGCCGAAATCGAACAGGTCAAAGATATTAAGATGACCAAAGACGGAGTTGACAGGGTCATTGACATTGACGAGCTACGAGAGCACGATAAGGCAGACAACCCATGGTTCGTCTTGAACGGAGAAGTGTACGATGGTACTGCATTTCTGGAAGGGCATCCCGGCGGCGCACAAAGCATTGTGAGCGCTGCAGCAACGGATGCTACTGATGAATTCATGGCGATTCGTAAGACACATGCTGGAGCTTGACATTGGGTACAAACACTGACAACCTGCAGATAGCGAAACAGCAAAAAAGATGATGCCAGATTATCACATTGGCACCTTGGATGAAGCCTCCCAGAAAGCTTTGGCACAAGGCCAAGCGACTACAGAATCCACCGAGCCACGACCCATCTTTCTTCACCCTCGCGAATGGCGTCAAGCTCATCTTCAGTCAAAGAAGAAGGTCTCCTCAGACACGCACATCTTCCGCTTTAAACTCGACCATGACGACCAAACCCTTGGCCTACCCACCGGCCAACATCTCATGCTTCGACTCCGCGACCCAGTCACGCGCGAGGCCATCATCCGCTCCTACACCCCGATATCCCAAACCAACCAAAAAGGCTACTGCGACATCCTCATCAAAGTATACGCCGACACGCCCTCCCGCGCCGGCGGCAGGATGACAAAAGCCCTCGACGCCATCCCCCTCGGCCACAGCCTCGACATCAAAGGCCCCATCGGCAAATTCGAATACCTCGGCCGCGGCCTCTGCAGCATCAACGGCAAGCAAACAAAGCAAGTAAACCGCTTCTACATGATCTGCGGTGGAAGTGGTATCACGCCCATTTACCAGGTCCTACGCGCCGTCATGCAGGATAAAGAAGACGCGACACGGTGTACTGTTTTGTATGGAAATCGCACTGTGGAGGATATACTTTGTAGAGAAGATTTAGATGCTTTTGCGAGCGGCAATGAGGATCGCTGCAGGATTCTGCATACGTTGACGCAGGGGAATGAGGAGTGGGAGGGGCGGAGAGGACGGATTGGAGACGCGATGCTTAAGGAGGAGTGTGTGAGGGGGGAGGGAGAGAGTATGGTGCTGGTTTGTGGACCTGAGGCGTTGGAGAAGGCGACGTGTGAGGTGTTGGGGAAGTTGGGGTGGGGTGAGGATGAGATTTTGGTGTTTTAGTTGTTCACAGCGTGCATTGTAAGGGAAGCGTTTTTCGGTGTTCTGTCATATTGGATATTTGGGTCTGTTTGGTTTACTACAACAGTTATTTTTTTTGCTCTTTATAACTCGATCAGGCAAAGCGTACATTACGGCGCTGGATTTGCTACGACTCCAACGGTTCTGTACTGTTGGAAAAAAATCGTGTTATCGCAATGCACTTTCTCCCATCCGAATCGCTTTCGAAATACTCAAAATCTTTCCAAAGCACAAACTCCTGACCTACACTTTCACCTCCTCATCCCCAGCACCCTCCAAAACCCGCACCTACAGACAACTCGAACTCTCCCTACTGAACACATCGGAAACGCACCATCTCCCGCCAGCATCTCCGCCAACTTCAACCCACTGATAAGACCCCTGTCGCCAAGCCCCCTCCCTATCTCGACCCACCTCGCGATAAGCAACTCAAACCCACCACCCCCCCAAACACCCCAAGCCACGCGAATCTCCACGGAGAACCACACACATCCTTCAGGCCACCCACTCACCACCCCCGCGAAGATAATCACCGATACCGTCTATTAGGCTAATGGATGGTCGGGGGCGGGCGGGGACTGCGTTATTGACGTCTTACCACTTACTTACCCACCCGCTTGGCGCTAGTGCTAGTGAACAAAAGTACCGGAGATAGATGTGGCTGTTGGGCAAGATTGCAGTGCATTTCCGTAGGTCACCGCGGAGGAGGGGCAGGTACGAATGAATGGATTGTATGATGTAAGTGCGGCTTTGAGAAGGGACGGGGTGGTGTGATTTGCTCGTGTAAGCGTGTGTGGTTGCGCGCGGAGGTGGAATAGGATAGATGGGTTAACCCTAGTGGGCGGTATTTTTTGTGTGCTACGGGAGGGCTTTCTTGTGGCTAGGCGGGATTTTCTGTTTGGTTATTTTGGACTTATCAAGCTGAGGGTTACGCCTTTTCTTTGCTATCTCGCTCCGTTTGTCCTGCTTTCTTCTTCTGTTTGTGTTTGTGCTTTTGGTTGTAGGCGGATAGTGGTATCGCTTCGTGTTCTTGTGACTTGGGTCCACGACGATAGTTCCTGAGGATACTTGATATACGACTGTCCGAGCGGTTGCATTGACATCGCAATGGCGGAAACGGAACCGATTGTCACACAAGGCATCGAGCCTTTGTCGGGTGAATCGCACTCGCCACCGGGTGAACGCCACATCACAGCGACCTGGGGATCAAAAGATGGAAACGTATCAAATCGAGAATGGAATGATGCGGAAGCAAACAAACTGCCTGAGAAGGTAGCGGAGCTGGAGAAGAAGGGAGAGATTAATAATGATCGCCCACGGAAAAGAATCGTGGTTGTAGGGTTGGGCATGGTCGGCATTGCTTTTATGTAAGTTTTGAGTGTCGAAAGAAATTGCCGAGAAGCTAATTGTAAATAGTGAAAAACTCATGAAGTACGATGTCAAGCGGAGAGAGTACGACGTCGTCGTCATTGGCGAAGAGCCGCATCTTGCATACAATCGAGTTGGCCTAACTAGCTTCTTCCAACATCGCCAAGTAGAAAACTTGTACCTCAATCCGCAAGAATGGGTTTGTCGCAATTATTCAGGAGCATATGGTTGAAACTAACCTCCTCACAGTATTCCTCCATGCCCGAAGGCGCATTGAGCTACCACCTCAACACCCTTGTCACCGAGATTAATTCCGAGGAGAAGACAGTCAAAACATCATTTGGAGAGACAGTATCATACGACATCCTAGTTCTGGCAACGGGTTCAGATGCGCTTCTTCCCCGACACACGCCTGGTCACGATGCACAAGGTGTATTCGTGTACCGAACTATCGAGGATTTGCAAAGATTAATAGAATTTTCCTCTTCACGAAAGGGTACGACTGGCGCAGTCGTGGGTGGCGGTCTGCTTGGTCTCGAAGCCGCACATGCGATGATGGATCTAGAAGACTTTGCCAAAGTCAAACTGATTGAGAGGAACCGATGGGTGCTGTCAAGGCAATTAGATGGCGATGCCGGCGGTATGGTTGTAGAGCAAGTAAGAGCATTAGGTCTGGACGTCATGCTAAGCAAGAGGGTGGGCAAGATCCTGGCCACCGAGGACAACTTTGTCAAGGGCGTGGTATTTGAGGACGGTGAAGAGATGGAATGTTCTTGCATTTGCTTTGCGGTGAGTGCTTTCAGTGTTCTGGAATGACGGCCGAAACTGATATGCATAGATTGGCATTAAAGCCCGAGATGAGCTAGCCAGGAAAGCCGGCATCAAATGTGCTGACAGAGGAGGCGGCATAGTCGTTGGACACGACCTGGCAACATCTCAACGCGACATCTATGCCATTGGCGAGTGTGCGAGCTGGGAAAACCAAACCTTTGGCCTCATCGCCCCTGGTGTCGAGATGGCCGACGTACTAGCTTTCAACTTGACCCAAGCGAAAGCACACGCACCGCGAAAGTTCAAAGCTCCAGATCTCAGCACAAAACTCAAGCTGCTAGGTGTCGAAGTTGCAAGTTTCGGTGACTTCTTCGCCGATCGCGATGGACCTAAGAACTTACCTGGACGCCAGCGCGCCGATAGCAAGGAGCCGAATGCGAAGACGACGCGAGACAAGGTCAAGAATCTGACAGATGGGCCAGCACCACCACCAGTCAAGGCGCTCACATACAAGGATCCGTTCCAGCAGGTCTACAAGAAGTACCTGTTTACCATGGATGGAAAGTATTTGCTGGGTGGCATGATGATTGGTGATACGAAAGACTACATCAAGCTTGTGCCCATGGTGAAAAACCAGAAACCGCTCGAAATACCGCCCAGCGAGCTCATTGTCGGCGCACAAAAGGGTGAAGACGATGGTTCTGATCTGTGAGTAAAGAAACCGTGACCGAGTGAGTACTCTTACTGACGACTGTAGATCCGATGATACCCAGATCTGCTCATGCCACAACGTCACCAAAGGCGATGTAGTTAATGCTACTAAAGACGGAACCTGCAAGAGCATCGGCGATGTCAAGTCTTGCACCAAAGCCGGCACTGGCTGCGGTGGCTGCATGCCGCTCGTCCAAACCATTTTCAACAAGACCATGGCGTCCATGGGCAACGAGATCAAGAACCATCTCTGCCCACACTTTGAGTACTCTCGCGCCGACCTCTTCAACATCATCTACGTCAAGGGTCTCAAAGATTTTGCTTCTGTGATGAAAGAAGCAGGAAAGGACGCCAACTCCCTGGGATGCGAGGCCTGCAAACCGACCATTGGAAGCATCATCTCTTCGCTGTACAACAGGCATCTCCTTGAGGTAAATAATCGGGGTCTTCAGGATACTAACGATCGATTCCTTGCAAACATCCAGCGCAACGGCACATTTTCCGTCGTTCCCCGAGTTTCTGGAGGCGAGATCACACCGGAGAAGCTCATCATCATCGGAACAGTGGCGAAAAAATACAACCTCTACACCAAGATTACGGGTGGCCAGCGCATCGACATGTTTGGTGCACGCAAACAAGACCTCCCAGACATTTGGCAAGAGCTCGTTGATGGCGGCATGGAGTCTGGTCATGCGTACGCAAAGTCACTACGCACTGTCAAATCATGCGTTGGAACTACATGGTGCCGCTTCGGCATTGGCGATAGTGTAGGCATGGCTGTGCGTCTCGAAGAGCGCTACAAGTCCATTCGTGGTCCACACAAATTCAAAGGCGGAGTTTCGGGCTGTGTCCGCGAATGCGCAGAGGCTCAAAACAAGGACTTTGGTCTCATTGCCACCGAAAAAGGATTCAATATCTTTGTCGGTGGCAACGGTGGTGCAAAGCCCAGGCATTCAGAACTATTGGCCAAAGACGTACCACCAGATGACGTGGTCCCTATCCTCGATCGCTATCTCGCATTCTACATCCGGACGGCCGACAAGCTGCAACGAACAGCGCGATGGATGGAGAATCTCCCCGGCGGTATCAAGTACCTCCAGGAAGTCATCCTGCAAGACAAACTCGGCATCTGCGCCGATCTCGAGAAGCAAATGGAAGATCTCGTCGGTACCTTCTTCTGCGAATGGACCGAAGTTCTCAAAGACCCCAAGAAACGCGCCTGGTTCTCGCAATTCGCAAACACCTCGGAAACCATCGTCGACACCATCGAGCCCACACAAGAACGCGGCCAAGAACGTCCTTCCTACTGGCCCAAAGACTCCATCACCGAAGACTTCCGCGGCACAAAATGGACAGAGCTCTCCTGGCAACCCTTGGTCAAAGCCTCAGAGTTCCAGGACGCAGATACAGGTGACAGTAAGGCAATCAAGCGCGGCGACACGCAACTCGCCGTCTTCAAAGTCCGCGGCAAATACTACTGCACGCAGCAAATGTGCCCGCACAAGCGCGCCTTTGTGCTCTCCGACGGCCTCATCGGCGATGACCTCGCAAACAACAAACTCTGGGTCTCGTGCCCCTACCATAAACGCAACTACGAGCTCTCTGGCGAAAATGCAGGCAAGTGTACAAACGACGAGTCTGTTAATATTGCTGTTTTCCCGATCGAGGAGCGTGATGATGGTTGGTTGTATGTTAAGCTGCCCAGTGTGGAGGAGCTGGATAGCGTGCTAGGGACGAGCAAGTTTAAGATTAAGAAGAGTGAGACGGAGGATCCGTTTGTGGCGCTTGATAAGAAGTTGCAAAGGTTGCAGCTTAAGGGGAGGAAGGGCGTGCCGGTGTCGCATCTTGAGGGGGGATTGGGGGAGAAGGGGAAAGCCTCGCAGATACTGGCTGGCGGTGAGAGGGGTGCTGGGGGATTGGATTGGTGAAGAGGGGGGGATGGGGAGTGTGCGAGCATCTGGTGTGGCGTTTTTCTTTTTGGCTGGGTTGGTACAAGATTCCCATACATGGCTAGATCAAGGCTTTTTTAGGTTTTTCTCTTTCGATCTTACTTCCCATGTTTTCAAAGGTGTGATGTTGTCATCTTTTGATATTGAGGCTGTGGTTGTGTTCCACGTTGATTGCTTTACTTTCAACCCGTCTGGCGATTCTCGATAGACAGTGAATGTCTGCCCCCAAGTAAGTTCATAGACTGTAGGAATTTTTGAATAGTAAGGTAGATGGATCTTGGCGGCGACAAGAAATGTCTTCATTCGCATTATATCTGGTGTAACATGCTCGGAGTGGACGTTTCACCATAGCTTTGGTGGCTTGCTTGGTAGCCTTTTATAAGTCTATTTTCAATGAAGAGCTTGTCCGATGATGACTTCTAATGGGTCGCGGTATGTTTAGACTAACACACCCTCCCGGAAGGAAATTGCTAGCCTGCAAGCTTATTCACTACGAGCTGCGAGCGTTGGGTGGCGGTGTTTTAGGCCTAACGAAGTTGATGTAACGTGGTAGGTTTGTTGTCGGCAAGTGAACGTCAAAGATGAGGCTAAAAAAATGTGTACGGTTGGATATTCTTATTTCGGCATGCGCTGTTGCAACCTTGGGCTGACGTGTCCAAAGTGGCAACCGTGTCAGGGCATGATGCTTGGATGCCTGGGTATCGAATTCTGTTGGGAGCAAACATATTTACAAGCTGTGCGACTAAAGAACGTAGCCGAGACAGCTGAACTGTCGAGCTGATTTGGCGTTTGGACTGATGTTGTGGTTCGACCGAATGAGTGTAGTACATAATGGTGAGATCCTGACTTGAACGCGGCAAGCAGGTAAAATCTGTCCCTCCCCCAAAAGACCGCAACAACTTCGATTATTTTTTGCTCTGATACTTCTCTCATTTTCTTTCCGACGTTGTATCCGAACATGGAAAATATCAAAGCCCGCCTAGGCCAAAAGCAGATATGGGTGGACGCGCAAACGTTCCGCGCATGGTTTCCCAAACAGAAGTCTGAAAACTCGATACAAGGAGATCTGTGGGTACAAAGACTGCATAACTATTTCAACAGTCACTTCGGTATCCGAAAGGAAGTCATTCAGAAGACTTTGGAGCGATTCTTCGGCATACTCGGACCTTACGCGCAACATGGCAATGGGGAGACGCGACACCGTGTTCGTCAGGTCCTCCAGCACTATCTCGATCAGGAGTGCCTCAACAACGCATATCGGACCAAAGACCTCCAATGCTTGCGACATACATTCATTATTCTAGTGCAGCTGGCACGGAAGTTTGAGTCCTCGCTACTAGTCGAGGCGTTGTCCACTTTCTGGGACCATACCAAGGACAAGATCAACCGCCACGAAAAAAGTGAGTACTTGGCAGACTGGAAGAAGGCAGCGGAAAAAGTTCAAGAATCCCATGAAGTCCGCCCTCTGGCTGCTTCTATTCAACAGCGTCATGGCAGGGCACGACCAGCACCTGTTGTGAAATATGGACGTCGCAAACTGGATTTCAAACTCGAAGTCCCAGTTTTTGCTAACCCAGCATGTGCGCACCCCGTAATCGTACCCGTCAGATATCGTCGAGATGAGTATTTTGATAAACTGAACAAGATCCAGTATTAGCAGCGGGAGATGAAGGAAACACTAGAGAATGTTAATGGAAAGCTTGACCGGCTCATACGTGGCGCATATTGACGGACATCGTTCGGGGTTTTGGATGGCCAGAGAGATTTCCTTGCGGTTAGGGACTTTGCCCGGACGGAGAGAATGGGATAGCAGTTCTACGGAGCAAAGAGGATTTTCCTTGGTTAGGCTAGAGTGAATTGAATAGACTTGGCATTTGAGTAGGAACGATAGGTTTGTACTGCTCAGTTTGGAAAGCAGGGACGACCATGTCGTATCGCAATATCCCTTCCAGAGTGATAGCTTCTGCTTTCGTAGTATACCACAGCGCAGTTACAACTCTCAAAGACTCGACTCTGCGAAGTGAGATAGTGCTAAACCGGATGAGAGCAATGATAGTTCTCCAGAAGCTGATAGTCGTGCTCTGTATCCCTAGTAGCAAACTTGTGCAACCTAACCAGGATGGTGTATGACCAACAGTTTATGTCGGAAAGATTCGATTGGAGGTAATGCTCACTGATAGGGCCAGGTCCTGAACCTGGTGTGAATGGTTGGATGAAACCATTAATAAATGATAGAATTTTTCTGTTCCAGTTGCGGCCGGAGTCTATTGGAAAACCTAGACATCGTGAAGGAACGCATGATGGCGCCTTAAACCAATGATGTCCTGCGACGCAAAAAAAAAAGAGTTCGTGACCCCTCACTATGTTGGATGCACCGGACGCCTTGCTGACTCAACCAAATACGGTGAAATTGATGCAAAAGGAAACCAAGTGGATTGGGATTAGCGTAGATAGTGTATGACGAGCCAGCAGAAGAGGAAAAAGACAACGACGCCACCCCAGAAGATCCACTTGTCCTGTTTTGCTCGCCTCTCGACCATGCGTATCGTGTCGCCGCTAATGCCTAGGGTATTGGCAACTGTGTATAGCCTTCTCTGGGTGCCCTTGAGCATGTCCCTCTGTTGGCCAAGATCGCCGAGCACAGCTCTTCCCCTGTCGAGGAACTCGTCGAGCTGCTCCGAGGTTTTGTTGAAGAAGGTATTTTCGCGCAAAAGATGGCCTTCACGATCGTATTGGCCGCCTTGTGGGGCGCCTGCCGAGTATGGGTTGGGTCGGTAGGGGGCATTGGGGTCGTAGGGTTGGGAGGGCGCAAAGGCTGAGTGCTGGGCAGCCAGGTTGTGCTGTGCATATGGATTCTCAGGCGTGGCTGTGTTATGAGGGCGCCGGCCTAGAAGTTCGGTGCGGGCTTCTGTGGTTTGCTGTGAGGGTTGTCAGTACGCATTTGTCGCATGCGCTTCTGAACGCGGACGGTGGTTCGAAACGTACAATGTCCTCGTTGGCGCTCTTTATGCGCTTGAAGCTGGCACGGTATTCATCCAGCTCTGCCCTGAAGTTCTTCAATCTCTCCTGCGCCTTTTCGGCCTTTGTCTGCACCGGCTCTTGTCTCGCGAGCTTGCCATAGTCGTCGATGGTGCGGGCGAATGTTGCGAGGGAGGCGTTGAGCTGGGCCTGGAGGTGTGGAGAGGGCGAGGCTGAATCGGCAAATTGATCCAAGTCTTTCCGTATCGAGGTCGATTGCCGCAAGGCTGAATTAAAGAGGGCATTCTGTTTGCGACGTGAGCTTGTGTTATGCTATATATGCGCCACCAGACGGACCATTGCGAGCTTTTGTGGCTGTTTTGGCTACTGCCGAGTGTGGAATAATCGCGTAGGGATTGTATGCGAGAGTATGTGCGCTCTTGAACAACTGGTTCTGTATGTATTGGTGCCTTGTAGGCAACGTTTTTTTGGTGACTTGACAGATTGCATCATGGCCACATGCAATCGTTGTCGCATTCTAGCGCTAACCCAAAGCAGACTGGATCAGGAATGCGAACACCATCCTGAACGGCGCTCTAGGCATGCTCTTCTCTCAACTACATCGATACCAATCGCGTAGGCGCCTTCGAGTACATTTCTCTTGGTCCTAGCAAATTTCTCTCAAAACATACTGCTCGGCGCATGTTGATAATCTGCTTCACAGGAACGCGACATGTACACTAGCCGCTTATCGCAACCTGCTCGGCCTCGGCCATCCATCCAGCGAGGTCTTCCCCATGGCCAACTCTACTATATTTCCCCATATAAATTCCCATTCACCTCCGTCTAAATCACGGGGGTCCAATCTTGACGTCGGTCTCTTCCCCTCCTGCCTATCCGGGTAATCGTCTACGCAATCCTTGCTCGCGGGACGCTCGCTATTAGCAACTGCGGATCCTGTGGCTACCACCAACCGCAAAAAGTGCAAGACAAAGTCGAGGGGCGATATCGTCGGCTAAAGCTTCTAACCGACATGGGAAGTTCGATAACTTCTCGACTTCCGAGCCGGAGTTTGATGTCATGGCATGCCGTCCTGCTTTCTTGGCCGCGGCCTATCCGGCTTTCTCTATTTGAATCGCTGCCCTGAGAAAATCCAGATATCCCATCTTCTCCTTCTCAAACATAACCATGCGCTTGCTGTCGCTGTTGCGTGCCAGTACGCTGATCTCAGCGGTATGCGCGCATGATGTTCATGAGCGCGACCTTCCCCCTCCAGTTGCCATCAACGACCAGACGTACACTCAATGCGTCAATGCAGCATGGCCGCCCTCAAATGTCGGTACTGAACTCGTTCCGCAAGCTCCGGATGATGAGATGCGTGCAATCTTAGATGAAGTGAACGCTGCCAATATCCAAGCCACCATCGAGAAGCTTGTCTCTTTCGGAACTCGCCATACCCTTGCAACATACAATAGCTCAACGCGTGGTATCCATGCAGCCAGGGACTGGATTGCTTCTGAAATGAAAAAGTATGCCGATGAAAGCAATGGGACCATGACTGTCGGGGTCCAGAGCTACGTTCAGGGCGTGGCCAGCAGGATCCCGTTCCCAGTCACTATCTCGAACGTCTTAGCGACCGCCAAAGGAAGCCAGGATCCAAGCAGGGTATACGTCATGACCGGGCACTATGACAGTCGCGTCACCGACGTCCTCAACTACGAAGCCGATTCACCTGGTGCCAATGATGATGCTAGTGGGACAGCTAGTAAGTTCAGTACTGCATTTTTCGTAGAGTGGAGATTGACTTCGAATAGTTGCCATGGAGATTGCTCGTATACTATCTAAGCATCAACCAAAATCTACTATCATTCTGGGTGCTGTTGCTGGCGAAGAGCAAAACCTCTATGGTTCCACTTACCTTGCCGAGACACTACGAAATTCTAGCACCAACGTCGAAGGCATGTTGAACTGCGATATCGTGGGGTCCTCGACTGGCGACCGTGGACAAAAGGACCCCTTTACTATTCGCGTTTTCGCAGAGGGCGTATCGCTGACGGGAACTGACAACCTTACACCTGCTCGACGCCTTCAAATCGGTGGCGATAGCGACACCTCTGCACGAGAGCTCGCACGTTTCTCCGCTGAAGTTGCTGCTAATGATGCCACTGGTATGAATGTTGCTATCATCTACCGTCTGGACCGCTTCCTGCGTGGTGGCGACCATACCGGTTTCCTTCGCGCTGGGTATCCTGCAATTCGTTACACGGAACCCAACGAGAACTTTGCTCATCAGCACCAAGACATCCGCACTGAAAATGGGACTGTATATGGTGACCTGGTTGAGTTTGTCGACTTTGAATACACAGCACGCGTTGGCAAAGTTAATCTTGCTACACTTTGGTCGCTCTCGCAAGCTCCCGGCATGCCGAAGAACGTAACCATTGACACAACCGTACTTGATAACAACTCGCGGATCAAGTGGATCAAATCCGATAGTCCTGATGTGGCTGGGTATGAAATCGTCTGGCGGTCCACAACAGCCAGCTTGTGGACACACACAGTTGATGTGGGCAACGCCGGCTCTGTGGTTCTTCCACTAAGCAAGGACAATGTCATCTTTGGTGTTAGGACGGTTGGTACTAATGGATACAAGAGTCAAGCTGTCTATCCCATTCCTGGATAAATTGACTCGGACAAGACCCATCCAAAGGGAAAAAATGTCAAGAAAAATGTACCCAGATTCTAACTAGAATCTTAATGGCATTTGATCCAATACCCGTGTTTGACATACATGATACACAAATACGATAATGCGGAAAGTGGGCTGTCGTAATTGGCTCCGTTGTGATTTTTGCTTTCCACTGGTAATGTTGCGTATACAACAAGACTGCAATGTGTCAGCATGAAACCAGGCAAATGCAGAGCTGAAGCTGGGTTAATTAGTAATTGAGTAACGCCACTAGCGTAGTCACAGCAATAGTGAGGGACCGGGCCGTGCCCGCATGCCCCAAAACTAGTGGTACGTTTCACGGATTCTTCCATCACCCAACTTCATAACTACGCTTCCACACACCCCGCTTGCAGATCTATAAAGTAACTCCACAGTCTGGTCAGAAACACTTCGTTATCCGGTTTTCCTTAATATTATCGAAGCTTAAGTTGCGTGTTACAATGAGTTAAAGTGACGCCTTTGATATGAGGAAACGCGGCTCGAAGAATCTACGCCACCATTCGCTTAGTGTGTACCGAAATCTTGGGAAATGTCCAGGCTAGCGCCAGATCGATGGATACGATGGAATAAACGGTTCGGCTGGATGATCTAGGGAGACTAGATTAGCGAGCAGCCGCATGAGCGGGTTGCTAGGGCCGTGTGGAGCTGAAACTGTCCGCAGCTCGGGATCTCTTTGCGACCGCAGTAAATGGTTAGACTCGTTGTGGGGGATTTCAGACTCGACTGTAAGTTGGCTTCGCGAAGTCACAGCGAGAAAGGTTATTAGGTTATTGAAGCCGCGTAAAATATACACTGAATGATGTGTACTACTCGCTGTATGTGTACTGCATCGTGCATACCACATGCTGCGCGCTCTCTTCTCGAAAAATGTCATGTCTGTAAGGTGAAAGCTAATTATAAGCGTGTTTTGTAGGTCATATATAGAATAGTGCATCTATGTGCATGTAGGATGCAGATGCGATATACGGGAATCTTCATCACGAGCCTAATGTTATGCATTGGGTTTTGTTTTCACTGTTGGCAACGTACGATGATCTTCTCGAATGTTCGGCTTGCAGTATCTAGTGGAAAAGGATAAGAAATAATGTTATGCTTGTGATTTGAAGCATAACTGTGTATAAGAAGGGAAATGGTTACTTCGGGTTTATATCTCACGCGAGGAATACATATCTTCGCATCTCTACTTAGGTTGGTCGGAACGTGGAAAAGCTGGTTGTAATGGCAGCGATTGGTGAGGCGAGTGATTGTTGCGCCGTTCGGTACGGTATGTGGCGGAGATTCGACGGCAAGAATCTAGTATTTCTGTGGATTGTGACATATAACTCACCAATTGTATTATTGCTCGGTCCAAGAAGCCGCGAAATTCTACCCACAGACTTCGGTCGGAATGTTCTCCGCGGCTATCCCTCGGCTCTAACGTTCTCTAATGCCGCGTGGACAACATGCGCCAAGGAATACTTGTCCGAAAACATTCGGTTATACAATCAAGTGGCCAGTTTATATTAAAGCCAGCCATTTCATCCGAATGTAACGCAAAGATCCACATCTGAATCTGGATCAACCATAAGCTAGTCGACCGGGTAGTTGATCACCCGGAGATGTTGGTCACTGATCAGAACTCAACACCCTCATCAAAACACGCGTTTTCTCGCCACCTACACAGCCAAAATGGATGCCCGTGAGGAAGCTATTCAATCAGCTATTCGTGGTATTATTTCTGGTGTTTTTCCAAGTCAAAGAGCTGCTGCAAAAGCGTATAACCTCCCCCAGTCCACAATCTCGACGCGTATAAACGGCCGACAGAGCAACTACGCAAGCTATGTATATTAACAGCGATTAACCCTGGAGCAGGAGGACTTCCTCGTATAATGAATACTTGAAGAGGACGCATGAGCTTTTCCTCCCTTATACGCACGCGCACGAGAAATGGCGAACCAAATACTAAGGATAAATAGAGACTATAGGCCTATAGGCAAGTATTAGATAACTACCTTCCTAAAGCGTAGTCCACGCGTTGCATCTATTATCGGACGAAAAATTAAAGCTGCCTAGGCTAAGAGAGCAACTCCTAGGCAGATCCTCGCATCTCTTAAGTGTAATGGCTTAGCGTCTGTTGCTACATATATCTGAATGGGATCCGAACTAGGGTACGGTTTAGCCTAGTGGAAAAACGACTATATAAACTCAACCTCTATAATAGCTTATTATTCAACACCAACTTCGAGTTTTTCTAGAATAGGTGTATTTTAGCTCTATATATACAAACAAACCACGAGAAATCGATTGCAACTACTTTCAAAACG